GTTTTCCGGAAAAAATGTATTTAGGTAAAAAATACTTTCTGGAAAAATACTTTCCGGAAAGTAACCGGAACTTTTCCCCCTTTATCTTGAGTATTGTCTGAGAGGTCTTGAATCTCTTCTGGGGGAAAACTGTCGAGATCCCCCATTTTTAATTTATTTTAATTTTTACTGTGGAGATTTTGATATAGCAGTGACAATGGAAGAAGATGTTCTGCTGAGTCGACTTCGATTATGGGGGGTAAACATTCCAGAAATTTGTAAATATTTTGGAAACAAAATAATTAAAATAAAGGAATGAATAATGTCCAGTTGCATTTTTATTAAGAGAAATCTGCTAAGATTCGCTATAAAATCACCTCTATTTAAGATAAGGTTTCTAAAGGTACCGGGTAGACATTCCACAAGGAGAGAGCTGTCTAATCTATACCCAATGTGTGGCAGAGGTGGGTCGGAAAAAATTTCGATTTCCGAGTTCCAACTTTTGAGCCAGTTCCGATTTGGCTCTTCCGATTTTCGACACCTCTAACTGTTCCGACCCAACTCTGCTGGGTATGAGAATCCAGTGGGTGTGGGGAGGAGCTGTCTAGGAGAGGTCCTTTATTTAAAATACCCTTCATTTTATAGGCTAAACCTCATTATAAAATGCCTCCAATACTATATACACCCTCTGTTTAATATAACCTCTATTTAATATACCCTCAATATAAGCTCCCTAAGATTTGGTTCTTAAAAATTGGCAGGCCACCCGGCAAGGACAGCTATCTAATCTATACCCTCTATTTAAGGTACACCTCATTATAATGCCCAACCTCTTTAGGAGATGCCTCGATAATACACCTCTATTTAGGATATACGTTTACCTAGAGTTTGGTTGACCATTGAGTGTGGAGGGAGCTCCCAAGTGATTTTAAGGTGCTTCTATTTAAGATACCTCATTATAGGAGACAATTTTAGGCCTAGGAGGGTGTATCTTATAACGAGCCCGGCTCTATTAAAATAGGCAAATTTTAAAAATTTATAAGAAAATTTTTTCAAAAATAATAAATAGGCTTGAAAAAATTAAGTTAAGACGGCTATTTGATTAAATAAAAAATCTAGGTAGTTTAAGCATTTATAAAGGCAAATTTTATTTACAAAATAAAGTGCATCTTTATAAAAATGACGCGGTGACGTAAGTAACTAAAACACACAACTGTTAGAAAATTAATTATGAAATTTGTCTTAAAAAAATTTGTGGGTGGTCAGTCTGGGTTTGCTGTTGTAATTGAAAAAATTCGAATTGCCCTCTACACTCCACTCAAAGGGGAGGGCCGTTTCGGCGCGGCTTATAAAACACTGAAGCCGTTGGGCGTGGTGTTGTTAGGGAATGGGGTTGTTAGAGCGCAAGCTTATAAAAAATTGAATTGCTTAACCAAAATGACAAAATTTTACAATAATAACCTTCGTATGTTTATCTAACTTCTCCCAAAATTTCAGAATTTTTGGACCAGAATTTCGAAAATTATGGCCAAAAATGTTTTGTTTTTCCACAAAATGACCAATTTTTCGAGGTTTATCGACTATAACTTTGAAAATATTTTATGAAAAATTCTGAAATTTCTGAAGAAGGTAGTCAAGGATGTTAAAAAAATTTGAGAGAATTTTCATGAATTTAGGTTTCGTCTAAGTGTCAGTTTTGAGCCGCGCGCCAAAAACGTCAAGGCGCCAAGACAACCCCAACCCCCCTTAACGCACAGTCATAGTTTTAAGCATTTTACAAATTGTAAATTATTTACAGCTCAAATTTCGGAAACTTTCTTTCCGGAAAACTTTTTACAAATTCCGGAAACATTTTAAAAATTCCGGAAAACTTTACAAATTCCGGAAACTTTTTACAAATTCCGGAAAACTTTTTACAAATTCCGGAAACTTTTTACAAATTTCGTAAAACTTTTTACAAATTCCGGAAAACTTTTTACAAATTCCGGAAAACATTTTAAAAATCCGGAAAACTTTACAAATTCCGGAAACTTTTTACAAATTCCGGAAAACTTTTTACAAATTCCGGAAAACTTTTTACAAATTCCGGAAAAAAATTTACAAATTCCGGAGAACTTTTTACAAATTCCGGAAAACTTTTTACAAATTCCGGAAAAAAATTTACAAATTCCGGAGAACTTTTTACAAATTCCGGAAAACTTTTTACAAATTCCGGAAAACATTTTACAAATTCCGGAAAACTTTTTACAAATTGCAAGTCTATTACAAATCATAAAAACAAATTCTGAAACGGAAATTAAATTAAAATAAAATTATCAGAAAAACATTATACTTTTCTAAGGACTACACGTGCACTTTAACTGCTTTTCAAGATGCACTTAAAAATTGGCTAAATAATTTTAATTGTCTATCGGTCATGTTTTTTAAATAAATAACATGTGAGAGTTTAAAGTAAAAGTGCAAGACTTTGTCTGACAAAAAATTTTTTTTTGAAAAATTTAAATTTCAAAATTTTGGAAATAAATTTAATTAAAAAAATAAAAAATAAAAAAAAATTTATTATTTAATTAATAAAAAATGCTTTTATATATTTTTAATGGCACTATGAATAAAATTTAAAAAGGCAAGAATTGTTGGGCAATTTTTCAATAATTCCGGAAAACATAAATAAAGAACAAATTTAGGGGAAGAATAAAAGAAACATTTAAAATTCCTTCCGGAAAACATTTTACAAATTGTAAAATATGTATTACAAATTCCGGAAAATGTTTTACAATTTCCGGAAAACATTAAGTTTTTAAAAACATTTTACAAATTCCGGAAAATGTTTTACAAATTTCTTCCGGTAAACTTTTACAAATTGTAAAGTATGTATTACAACTTCCGGAAAATGTTTTAAAAATTTCTAAAAACATTTTTTAAATTCCGGAAAACATTTTACAAATTTATAAAAACATCTAGATATTCCGGAAAACATTTTACAAATTCATAAAATGTTTTACAAATTCCTTCCGGAAACATTTTACAAATTGTAAAATATGTATTACAACTTCCGGAAAATGTTTTACAATTTTCTAAAAACATTTTTTAAATTCCGGAAAACATTTTACAAATTCATAAAAACATCTAGATATTCCGGAAAACATTTACAAATTCATAAAAACATCCAAAAAATTCCGGAAAACATTTTACAAACTCGGAAAATGTTTTACAATTTCCGGAAAACATTTTAAATTATATATTTAAAAACATATTTTTAAAAACAAATGTATAAGCCATAGTTGGGGGAATGTTGTAATTAATTATATTTAATAAGAGAACATTTTAATATAATTTTAATAATGTATTTATAATCTAAACAATAATAATCTACAATAATAAGTGTGTGTTTTTGTTGAATTGAGTTAATCACAAAATTAATAAAAATGCACCAAAATATTAAAAAATAAAAGAATTTTTCGGGAGTATACAACAATATTTTTATTAATTTAAAAAAATGCCATTTTTGTTGTTTAAAAAATATAATATGGTCAGATAATTTAAAACAAGTCCACACGTTTGGTCTTCGAAAAACATATGAACGAACGTTAACTGAAATTACAACCGGAAAGGATTAATTATTAAATAAGTTTACAATTTCCGGAAGCATTGTAAAAACATTTAATAAAATTTTTTTGGAAAACATAATTAATTTTAGTTTCCGGAAGCATTGTAAAAACATAAAATAAAATTTCCGGAAAACACAATTTTAAAAATGTTTTTAAAAAAATGTTTTTACCAATCAACATAAACATGTTTTTAAAAAATAATTTTTCCGGATTGTAATTTATGTTTTTATCAATGTTTCAGAGAATTGTAATTTTTAAAAACAATTTTTTACAATTTCCGGAAAAACATTTATTTTTAAAATGTTTTCCGGAAATTGTTACATGTTTTTAGATGTTTTCTAAATTGTAACTTATGTTTCCTCACATGAACAGCTCTTTTTAAAAACATTACAATTCCGGAAAAACATTTATAAAAACATTACAATTTGTAGAAAACATATTTTAAATTTTACAATTTCCGGAAAACACCTCTAAAAACATTAGAATCTTCAGAAAACATTTTTTTAATTTTAGTTTCCGGAAAACATATTTTAAATTTTACAATTTCCGGAAAACATTTCTAAAAACATTACAATTTCCGGAAAACATTTTTAAAAATATTACAATTTCCGGAAAACACCTCTAAAAACATTAGAATCTTCAGAAAACATTTTTTTAATTTTAGTTTCCGGAAAACATATTTTAAATTTTACAATTTCCGGAAAACATTTCTAAAAACATTACAATTTCCGGAAAACATTTTTAAAAATATTACAATTTCCGGAAAACACCTCTAAAAACATTAGAATCTTCAGAAAACATTTTTTTAATTTTAGTTTCCGGAAAACATATTTTAAATTTTACAATTTCCGGAAAACATTTCTAAAAACATTACAATTTCCGGAAAACATTTTTAAAAATATTACAATTTCCGGAAAACACCTCTAAAAACATTAGAATCTTCAGAAAACATTTTTTTAATTTTAGTTTCCGGAAAACATATTTTAAATTTTACAATTTCCGGAAAACATTTCTAAAAACATTACAATTTCCGGAAAACATTTTTAAAAATATTACAATTTCCGGAAAACACCTCTAAAAACATTAGAATCTTCAGAAAACATTTTTTTAATTTTAGTTTCCGGAAAACATATTTTAAATTTTACAATTTCCGGAAAACATTTCTAAAAACATTAAAGTTTCCGGAAAACATTTACAAAAACATTACAATTTGTAGAAAACATATTTTTAATTTTACAATTTCCGGAAACCATTTGTAAAAACATTACAATTTCCGGAAAACATTTTTAAAAATATTACAATTTTCAGAAAAAACTTCAAACTTGCGGACTTGTCTTAAACTAAAAGAAAAATCTATATATTTAATAAGTAAAAATTCCAAAATTATAAAAAAAAAAATTAATTTGAAATTTCTCAATCCCTCTCTAATAATGCTGCTACAAAGCGTTCTCTCTGCTCTAAATTACCAGTAACTAATTTAAGTTGCTTTAAAAGTGTATCTGCCTTAATTTGTTCCAATACTTGTAAAAATTCTTTTCCATTAGAATATTCCATAATTTGTTCAAAAAAATATTCAAAACGTGTTCGTTTAGAATAATCCATTGACGGCTTCTCTTTTAAATTTATTTCTCTTCTTATTAAAATTGAAGTTTCAGCCAAATGTTTATCTACCCATTTACACCCTTTTTCTAACTCGTCTATTGTAAACGAAGACAAATTTGTTGTTGAAATTGAACAAGCAGATAAATAATTTTTAGCCATCTCCATTTTAATTGATTGTACACAGAGTAAATTGTAAAAATAATTTCGAGTATTTTGCCAAGCTACTTCGTCCTAGAAAATTATTTTTTGATTAAATGCTTATTTAAAAAATGTTAAAATAAATTACAAATTTCCGGAAAACATTTACAAATTGTTAAAAACATTCGGAAAATTCCGGAAAGCATTTTACAAATTGTAAAATTAAATTACAATTTCCGGAAAAGGTTTTACAAATTCCTACCGGAAAACATACAAATTGTAAAATATGATGTATTACGAATTCAGGAAAATGTTTTACAAATTTCTCAAAACATTTTATAAATTCCGGAAAACATTTACAAATTGTAAAATATGTTTTTACAATTTCCGGAAAAGGTTTTAAATTTTCTAAAATGTTTTACAAATTCAGGAAACAGTTTACAATTTGTGAAAAACATTTTAGATATTCCGGAAAACATTTTACAAATTGTAAAGTATATATTACAAATTCCGGAAACATTTTTGCAATTTCTTAAAAATGTTTTACAAATTCATATAAACATTTTAGATATTCCGGAAAACTTTTACAAATTATAAAAACATTCAAAATTCCGGAAAACATTTTACAAATTGTAAAAACATTCGAAAATTCCGGAAAACATTTTACAAATTCAGAAAAATGTTTTACAAATTGCTGTTTAAAAAATTCCGGAAAAGGTTTGTTTTTATCAGAAAAACATTGTAAAAATAATAATGTTTTCCGGAAGTTTTAATAGATGCTTTTACAATTTCCGGAAATATCAGAAAAACATTTAATAAATTTCCGGAAAATATTATTATTATTTTTACACTTTCCGAACAACATTGTAAAAACATTAAATACAATTCCGAAAAAACATCAATTTTTCAAAACATCTTATACAACTTCCGGAAAAATGAATTTTTTTTTTAACACATGTTTTTTTAACACATGTTTTATTTTTTTTTTTAAACATGTTTTTCCGGAAATTGTAATTTATGTTTTTCTCTCTCTTACATGAATAGCCCCAAACATATTTTTATAATTTCCGGAAAACATAAAATTCAAAATGTTTTCCGGAAAACATTATTTTTAAAATAACTCTAGGAGTTGTAAAACATGTTTTTCCGGAAATTGTAAAACATGTTTTCAGTGAGAAACATGTTTTTAAACATGTTTTTCCGGAAATTGTAATTTATGTTTTTTTCTCTCTTACATGTATAGCCCCTTTAGCAAGCATTCTAGCAGTAGTATCATGCAAATCAGCAAATTTAACTGCAGCAGCTCTACATACAGGTAAAAGTTTTTCTTTACGTTTCTCATATTCTTGTTGCAATTCTTTTTTCTTTTCTTCATCAATTTTATTTTTATTATTTTTAGCCATTTCTTCTTCCAATTTTTTCGTTTTTTCATCACATTTTCCAAGTAAAACACACAAATCTTTCTCTCTAAATTTTATTTCAACTATCCCATTTGCTTCTAAAACACCTCCACGGCTATTAGAATCTGCTAACATTGTTATACATGTTGGGTTTATTTGTGTATCTAATACTGCCCAAGCACCACCACGAAGTTCGCCAAAGGGAGGCAAATAAATTATTACTGGTTGGGTATATGTTTGTAAAGCATCAACTATCCAAGCACCAAATTTTAGTACCATTTCAAACATATCTAAAGAGAAAAATAAAATTGAAAGTAGAAAATAATTTCCGGAAAACATTTTAATGATCTATTTTTTTAAGAAACATTAAAGTCCGGAAGGAACGAACTGAACATTTTCCGGAAATTTTATAAAAAAATTTCCGGAAAACATTTTAATAATTTATTTTTCCGGAAAACATTAGTCAGGAAGGAACGAACTGAACATATTTCGGAAAACATTGATAAAATTTTCCGGAAAACATTATGGTCCGGAAAGAACGAACTGAACATTTTCCGGAAATTTTATAAAAAAATTTCCGGAAAACATTAATAAAAACTTAAATTACAATTTCCGGAAATAAATAATTCTTAATACGGAAAACTATATTCCAGAAAAACAATCCGGAAAATTAGTATACGATCCGGAAAATATATTCAGAAAGTTTCCGGAAAAGACTTTACAAAAGTAGTTTTCAGAAAAGTTAACGAAAAGACTTTACTTATAGTTTCCGGAAGACTTCTCGGAAGTACAGGGTGTTTCAACTAAGAAGCTAGAGAAAATAAATTAACACATTTCCGGAAGTTGTAGTGATTAAATAATTAATAAAAAAAATGTTTTTAACGTAAGTTTTTGTATTATTATTTATTTAATGACCTTTTTGTCCACCACTAAATCCTCGAATATTTGCTAATATGATTAAAGGAAGTCCTTCATGATTGAAATCGTTTATTGCTTCTGCTGTCTAAAAAATTAAGGTAATTTTAATATTTAGCCATAAAATGGGGGAAAAAATTTTTTTTGGTAGGGTGACCAGTGGTAAGATACACCGAGATAAGATGATGATGCAAGCATTAGTTTCAGGAAAAAATTTTCCGGAAAGTTTAAAAAAGATTTTCAGGAAAAAAATTTTTCGTAAAAGATTTCCGGAAAAGATTTTCCGGAAAAGATTTTCGGAAAAAAATTCCGGAAAAAAAATTTCCGGAAAAAAGTCCCGAAAAAATTAAAAATTTTCCGAAAAAAGTTTTGCTGGAAGACAAGAAAAATGAGGAAGTATGTACATGCCCAGTGGTAGGGCGCCCATAAAACAACGTGCCCTTGAAAAATTATTTTTATATTATATCACCTTAAATGCCGATCACCTTAAAACCCTTTAAACAACGTAAATCACCTTAAAACAACGTGCCCCTGAAAAATTATTTTTATACTAAATCACCTTAAATGCCGAATCAGTATGCCATACTTGACCAGCTTGCAGCACACATTTAGCCTGAGAATCTTGCGTAGCTGGATCAGCAGGTATTTCACATTCCACCGTTCGTGTTTCTACAGCTAAAACACCAACAGCAAGTCCTCTTAAACGAGCTCTCCCAGCAATTATTGTTTTTGCCCATCCACTCATAATTTCATCAAATGTCCCCTTATCGAAAAGTCCACCACCATCTGGAGGATCTAACATTAAACGTGGATCATAAGCACTTTTTGTTGGTTGGGTATGAACCATTCTTGCTTTGTCATCTTTTAACATTGATAAAGGTGGTAATGTTGGTTGTGTTGTTGTTGGAGAAGGTAATAACATTGTTGTTGAGGGAGGAGGAAGATAAGTTATCCAATGAAGAATCTTTTTTATTCCATCCATATCATCATGGGCGACAGAATGTGTTACACCGTTATGGTACATTATCTATTAAAAGAAAAAAAAGTTTTGCGGAAAATTATAAATATAATTATTAAACTTAAGTTTCCGGAAAAGTAAGAATGTTATTGTTAAACTTAAGTCTCTGAAAAATTATAAATGTTATTGTTAAACTTAAGTTTCCGGAAGTTATAAATAAGTTTCCGGAAAATAATAAATATTATTATTAGACTTAAGTTTCCGGAAAATAATAAATATTATTATTAGACTTAAGTTTCCGGAAAAGTAAGAATGTTATTATTAAACTTAAGTTTCCGGAAAATAATAAATATTATTATTAGACTTAAGTTTCCGGAAAATTATAAATATTATTATTAGACTTAAGTTTCCGGAAAATTATTAATATTATTATTAGACTTAAGTTTCCGGAAAATTATTAATATTATTATTAAACTTAAGTTTCCGGAAGTTATAAATATGTTTCCGGAAAATAATAAATATTATTATTAGACTTAAGTTTCCGGAAAATTATTAATATTATTATTAAACTTAAGCTTCCGGAAAATAATATTATATTAAACTTAAGTTTCCGGAGAATAATAAATATTATTTTTAAACTTAAGTTTCCGGAAAATTATAAATATTATTATTAACTTAAGTTTCCGGAAAAGTAAGAATGTTATTATTAAACTTAAGTTTCCGGAAAATTAGAAATATTATTATTAAACTTAAGTTTCCGGAAAATAATATTATATTAAACTTAAGTTTCCGGAGAATAATAAATATTATTTTTAAACTTAAGTTTCCGGAAAATTATAAATATTATTATTACACTTAAGTTTCCGGAAAAGTAAGAATGTTATTATTAAACTTAAGTTTCCGGAAAATTATAAATGTTATTGTTAAACTTAAGTTTCCGGAAAATTATAAATGTTATTGTTAAACTTAAGTTTCCGGAAGTTATAAATATGTTTCCGGAAAATAATAAATATTATTATTAAACTTAAGTTTCCGGAAAATTATTAATATTATTATTAAACTTAAGTTTCCGGAAAATAATATTATATTAAACTTAAGTTTCCGGAGAATAATAAATATTATTTTTAAACTTAAGTTTCCGGAAAATTATAAATATTATTATTACACTTAAGTTTCCGGAAAAGTAAGAATGTTATTGTTAAACTTAAGTTTCCGGAAAATTATAAATGTTATTGTTAAACTTAAGTTTCCGGAAGTTATAAATATGTTTCCGGAAAATAATAAATATTATTATTAAACTTAAGTTTCCGGAAAATAATTAATAGTATTTTTAAACTTAAGTTTCCGGAAAATTATAAATATTATTATTACACTTAAGTTTCCGGAAAAGTAAGAATGTTATTATTAAACTTAAGTTTCCGGAAAATTAGAAATATTATTATTAAACTTAAGTTTCCGGAAAATTATTAATATTATTATTAAACTTAAGTTTCCGGAAAATAATATTATATTAAACTTAAGTTTCCGGAGAATAATAAATATTATTTTTAAACTTAAGTTTCCGGAAAATTATAAATATTATTATTACACTTAAGTTTCCGGAAAAGTAAGAATGTTATTGTTAAACTTAAGTTTCCGGAAAATTATAAATGTTATTGTTAAACTTAAGTTTCCGGAAGTTATAAATATGTTTCCGGAAAATAATAAATATTATTATTAAACTTAAGTTTCCGGAAAATAATAAATATTATTTTTAAACTTAAGTTTCCGGAAAATTATAAATATTATTATTACACTTAAGTTTCCGGAAAAGTAAGAATGTTATTATTAAACTTAAGTTTCCGGAAAATTATAAATATTATTATTACACTTAAGTTTCCGGAAAAGTAAGAATGTTATTGTTAAACTTAAGTTTCCGGAAAATTATAAATGTTATTGTTAAACTTAAGTTTCCGGAAGTTATAAATATGTTTCCGGAAAATAATAAATATTATTATTAAACTTAAGTTTCCGGAAAATAATAAATATTATTTTTAAACTTAAGTTTCCGGAAAATTAGAAATATTATTATTACACTTAAGTTTCCGGAAAAGTAAGAATGTTATTATTAAACTTAAGTTTCCGGAAAATTATAAATATTATTATTACACTTAAGTTTCCGGAAAAGTAAGAATGTTATTATTAAACTTAAGTTTCCGGAAAATTATTAATATTATTATTAAACTTAAGTTTCCGGAAAATAATATTATATTAAACTTAAGTTTCCGGAGAATAATAAATATTATTTTTAAACTTAAGTTTCCGGAAAATTATAAATATTATTATTACACTTAAGTTTCCGGAAAAGTAAGAATGTTATTGTTAAACTTAAGTTTCCGGAAAATTATAAATGTTATTGTTAAACTTAAGTTTCCGGAAGTTATAAATATGTTTCCGGAAAATAATAAATATTATTATTAAACTTAAGTTTCCGGAAAATAATAAATATTATTTTTAAACTTAAGTTTCCGGAAAATTATAAATATTATTATTACACTTAAGTTTCCGGAAAAGTAAGAATGTTATTATTAAACTTAAGTTTCCGGAAAATTATAAATATTATTATTACACTTAAGTTTCCGGAAAAGTAAGAATGTTATTATTAAACTTAAGTTTCCGGAAAATTATTAATATTATTATTAAACTTAAGTTTCCGGAAAATAATATTATATTAAACTTAAGTTTCCGGAGAATAATAAATATTATTTTTAAACTTAAGTTTCCGGAAAATTATAAATATTATTATTACACTTAAGTTTCCGGAAAAGTAAGAATGTTATTGTTAAACTTAAGTTTCCGGAAAATTATAAATGTTATTGTTAAACTTAAGTTTCCGGAAGTTATAAATATGTTTCCGGAAAATAATAAATATTATTATTAAACTTAAGTTTCCGGAAAATAATAAATATTATTTTTAAACTTAAGTTTCCGGAAAATTATAAATATTATTATTACACTTAAGTTTCCGGAAAAGTAAGAATGTTATTGTTAAACTTAAGTTTCCGGAAAATTATAAATGTTATTGTTAAACTTAAGTTTCCGGAAGTTATAAATATGTTTCCGGAAAATAATAAATATTATTATTAAACTTAAGTTTCCGGAAAATAATAAATATTATTTTTAAACTTAAGTTTCCGGAAAATAATAAATATTATTTTTAAACTTAAGTTTCCGGAAAATTATAAATATTATTATTACACTTAAGTTTCCGGAAAAGTAAGAATGTTATTGTTAAACTTAAGTTTCCGGAAAATTATAAATGTTATTGTTAAACTTAAGTTTCCGGAAGTTATAAATATGTTTCCGGAAAATAATAAATATTATTATTAAACTTAAGTTTCCGGAAAATAATAAATATTATTTTTAAACTTAAGTTTCCGGAAAATTAGAAATATTATTATTAAACTTAAGTTTCCGGAAAATAATATTATATTAAACTTAAGTTTCCGGAAAATAATATTATATTAAACTTAAGTTTCCGGAGAATAATAAATATTATTTTTAAACTTAAGTTTCCGGAAAATTATAAATATTATTATTACACTTAAGTTTCCGGAAAAGTAAGAATGTTATTGTTAAACTTAAGTTTCCGGAAAATTATAAATATTATTATTAAACCTAAGTTTCCGGAAAATTATAAATATTATTATTAAACCTAAGTTTCCGGAAAATATCACTATTAAACTTAAGTTCCGGAAAATTATTATTATTAAACTTAAGTTTCCGGAATATTATAAATGTTATTAGTAAACTTAAGTTTCCGGAAAATACAGTTTACTTGCATCAGGAAAACTACAAAATAATTTAGAATTGTAAATGTTTCCAAAAGATTGTAAATTTGTATATTATTAGATTTCAGGAAAAACTTATGTACACTTAAGTTTCAAGAGATGTTTCCTGAAACGTTGTAGAGGTTATTATATTAAACTTAAGTTTCCGAAAAATAATTTAAAGAATTGTAATTTTTCCGGAAACTTGTAAAATTTAATATAAAGTTCCGGAAAGTAATTTAAAACAAGTTTTTCTACCTGTGGTCCACCAAGTTGATTATTTGATGTATACACTTCTCTACCCAAAACAGAATTTAATGCAGCTGCACCAGTAAGAATTATATGAGAATTTTCGACTTGACAAATGCGATGAGAAAGACGAGCAACATAAGCTCCAATACCGACTGCACGTCCAGAAACCTGATAAAATTTAAAATAAGTTTCAGGCAAATTTTAAATTTTATTAAGTTTCCGGAAATGTTTTAGTAGAATTGTAATTGTTTCCGAGAATTGTAAATATAATGTTTTCCGGAATTTTCCGGAAAAAATTCTTTTTACAATGTTTCCAGGAATTGTAAAAATAATGTTTTCCGGAAATTTAAATATAATGTTTCCGGAATTTAATAAATGTTTTCGAGAATATGTTTTGCAAAATTGTTATTTAATGTTTTTGCAACATGTTTTTCCCAAAAAAATATGTTTTTACGATGTTTTCGGAAAAACATTTTTTCGGAAAACATTTTTCAATGTTTTCCGGAAAAACATTGCAAAACATTTACAATTCTATAACGACATTTTCGGAATTGTCATATAATTGTAAATGTTTCCGGAAAATGTTTTTAAAACATTTTGAAGGTATGTTTGTTTCCGGAAAGTTTTAAAATTTATTGAAGTTTCCGGAAATATTTTAGTAAAATTGTAAATGTTTTCGAAATTGTAAAAATAACGTTTTCCGGAATTTAATGTTTTTGAGAATATGTTTTGCAGAATTGTTATTTAATATTTTTGCAATGTTTTCCGGAAATTGTAATAACAACAATGTTTTCGGATAATGTAAAAAATTTTTTTTTCAGAATTGTTATAGAATTGTAAATGTTTCCGGAAAATGTTTTTTACAATTTTTGGATGTGATTACAATTTTTGGATGTTTTCCAAAAACATTTAAATTTTATTAAGTTTTCCGGAAAATGTTTTAGTAGAATGTAAACATTTCCGGAATTGTAAAAGTTTCCGGAAAATGTTTTAGGAACCCTTGGAGTTATTTCCCGATTTCCGGAAAGTTTTTTCAAGTTTCAGGAAAATGTTTAGTAGAATTGTAAATGTTTCCGAAAAGTGATTTTCGCAACTCTTTGGATGTTTCTTTATGTTTCCGGAAAGCTATAAAAGTTTATAAGTTCACCAAGCAATAAGTTGGAACTTTGCGATATGCAGCACTTGTTTCCGCTGCAATTAAACCGGAACCGACCAAGTTTTCAACACCGATATCTCCCTCTTTTCCAATAATTGCGTCAATACGTCTGTTGCCGTTGTTTAATAGAGTTGACTCAATCTGAAAAAAATTTTTTTTGGAATTTTTTTTAAATTATTCTGGAAAAAATTTTTCCGGAAAAGTTTTTTCCGGAAAAAAATTTTTCCGTAAAATTTTTTTCCGGAAAATTTTTTGAAATTTTTTAAATTTTCCGGAAAAATTATTTTTCCGGAAAAAAATTTTACGGAAAATTTTTTTGAAATTTTTGAAAATTTTGAAATTTTTTCCGGAAAAAATTTTTCCGGAAAATTTTTTGAAATTTTTGAAATTTTTTCCGGAAAAAAATTTTTTTCCGGAAAATTTTTTGCAAATTTTTAAGGGAAGCACCTGTGAAAGAATTTCAGAATTTTCAACTTTAGGGACCAAAGTTAAATATTTAAATCCATCTTCAGGTCTATCATCATCATTCCATACAATATTTAAATGATTTTTTATATCTGAAGCAAATCCAATTCTTGCACCAGAATTTGCAGCAATATAAACACGAGGCATTTTATTAATACGGCTATATTCACTTGCCTTAAATTATCAAAAAAAAATATTTTGTAATTATAAGAGGTTTCTGAGTTATTCTTAATGTTGATCCGGAAAATTGAAAATCTCAATTTTTATAGAATTGTTAAGGTTTCCAGAAAATGTTTAAATAGAATTGTAAATGTTTCAAGTTTATGTAAAATGTTTTAGAATAATTTTAAACATTTCCGGAAAATTGTACAAGTTTATTATAGTATGTGTTAAACTTAAGTTTCCGGAAAATTGTAATTAGGGTTGTTGGCGACAGGTTTTAAAACCGGAATTTTTGAAATTTTTTGCCAAAAATTAACCGTTTTTAGAAAATTTTAAAAACCGAAAACCGGAAATTTGTGAAAATTAGTGATTTTATTTGAAATTCCCCCAAAAATAAACCGGTATTTGCCTAAAACTCAAAACCGAAAACCGGGTTTCTAAAATTTAGATTAACCGAAAACCGGAGGTACCGGTTAATAATCGGTCGCCAACAACCCTAATTGCAATGTTTATTATTGAATTTAAATTTTCCGGAAAAATATTAGTATAATTGTAAAATTCACTTGTAAATATTTGTTATTAAACTTAAGTTTCCGGAAAATATTTTAGTAAATGTTTCCGGAAAAGTTGTAGAGCTTTATTACATTAAACTTAAGTTTCCGGAAACATTTTTAAGAATTATAATTGTTTCCGGAAAATTATATAAGTTCAATATACTATATTTAAGTTTTCCGGAAAGCAGTATACTAGAATTTTACATGTTTTCCGGAAAAGTTGTAGAGCTTTATTACATTAAACTTAAGTTTCCGAAAAATATTTTAGTAAATGTTTCCGGAAAATTGTAGAAGTTTATTACATTAAACTTAAGTTTCCGAAAAATATTTTAGTAAATGTTTCCGGAAAATTGTAGAAGTTTATTACATTAAACTTAAGTTTCCGGAAACATTTTTAAAAACTATAATTGTTTCCGGAATATTGTATAAGTTAAATATACTATATTTAAGTTTTCCGGAAAACAATATCCCTAATAGAATTATAACTGTTTCCGGAAAAGTTGGAGACGTTTATTATATTGTCTTAAGTTTCCGGAGACATTTTCAAAAATTATAATTGTTTCCGGAAAAGTGTATAAGTTCAATATACTATATTTAAGTTTTCCGGAAAGCAATATACTAGAATTTTACATGTTTTCCGGAAAATTTTATTGTTTCTTGAGTTTTCCGGAAAATATTTTAATGAAGAAATACGGTACACCTCAATTGAGACCCGACTCAATCGAATCCCGGACCCTATAACTTATGAAGGGATGGTCACTTTTTGTTACTCTTGGTACCATTGGATAGGACATTAAATAGGCTACAATATACCAAAAAATAAAAATTCCTGACCGACTGGTAAAAAAGTTATGATCGTTTTAGTGCCGAAAAATCCGATTTTTTTGAAAAATTTAGTTTATAGATCATAACTTTTCTATCAATCAGTCAAAAAATCTGATTTTTTGATATGATGTAGAGCTTTTGATTCTCTATCCAATGATACCAAGAACATGAAAAAATGCTCCGGAAGAAATACAATTTTAGAATAAATTTAAAAAATTCACTTTTTGATATAACCGATGTTCTCTCATAGAAAACGACCCCATTTGAAAAGTAATATCATTTGAAATTAAAACAATTGAACGGCCATGAGGAGAATCTGGTGTCCAAATTTGCATTTCCCAAGCAATCATTCCACGGTCATTACAGCCAGAAGACATTCTTCTATTTAATTCTTCCTCACTTCGAATAATGTTTAGTTGGGCATTTGGATCGTCAGAGGTTAAAATCATTTCAAAAACTTTAAAATAAAATTAAATTTTATTGTAGTTAAGGGCGTATAAATAGAACAAATTTAAACTAGTTCTGAAAATGATTGATACACTTCCGGAAAAAAATAATTTTAAGTTTATTTAAGAAGAAAGAGCTAGAGACACTGAGAGAAAAATTCTGATAGTGCGGAATGCTCTTTGGCGTGATTTAAAAATTTGAAAAATGGGCGTTTGGCGCGCCACGCGAAAATTTTGGCGCACACCCCTGTAGTGATCTTCTGTCATTGTTCTCCGGAAAAATAAATAAAGGGTTGTTTTTTGAAAAAAAATAAAATTAATTTGGTCTGAAACATAAAATAAATTTTTCCGGAAAACACTAATTTTCAGACACAAATTAGTCCGAACAAATTAATTTTAATTTTCCGGAAAACCAAAGACAACCCGAACACAACAACAATTCCGGAAGGTACTTTCCTGCTATGACGCAACAAATTTAAATTTTTTTAAAAAAGCTAAAAATGTTCAAAAATAGTAATAATAAGCATAAAATTTTTCCCCCATTTTCCCACGTGTTTTCACACCTCAGTGGGTGTTTGGCGGAATTTGTTCTTTTTTTGAAGCAAAAATGGGAAAAAATTTTATGGTTCTTTTTGAAGCAGATGATAAGCACAAATTTCCCGCATATATTGAGACCAGTCTACCGTAGTGTTTTGTTCATGCCTAACTCTTAACATGCCTAACTCTTAACTGTGTTGAGCATTTTTAGCTTTTTCAAAAAAATTTAAATGTGTTGCGTCATAACAGGAAAGTACCTTCCGGAAATATCAAAATTATTTTTAAATTATATTTTTCCGGAAATTAAGTTTCCGGAAAATCAATAAAGGTTGTTTTCCGGACATAAATTCTAATTAATTTCAAAAACAAAATATCTCCCCTCAAAAAACACACCTTTAGCCAATTTTCTAACATCCGAATTATTAATAGCCAGTTGTTGTTCACTGGGCAACATTTCAAATGCCCTATAAAATAAACAAAATTTTCAAAAAAAAATTCCGGAAAAAAATTTTCAAAAAAAATTTCGAAAAAAATTTCAAAAAAAATTTCCAAAAATTCCGGAAAAAAATTCCGGAAAAAAATTTCAAAAAAAATTCCGGAAAAAAATTCCGGAAAAAAATTCCGGAAAAAAATTTCAAAAAAAATTCCGGAAAAAAATTCCGGAAAAAAATGTTCAAAAAAAATTTTCCAAAAAAAAATTTCAAAAAAAATTTTTTTCTTACGCAGAATAAGATTTTGGATCAGAACGTTTAAAAAATGTCCATTCATCAAAAGCAGCCTTTCCAAACATTATAGGCATATCATAAACATAAGTAGTTCCCAATTTATTTGCTTGGTATCTTTTTTTCTGTACATTAACTTGTTGTATTGTATGATGTGGAGTTGCTGAACTTTTTCCTGCTAAACGTGCATGACCTCCACTTTCTATTGGAATTAATTTTCTGTCTTCGTTTACCTAAAAAATGGGAGTGAAAAATGAGCAAATAGAAAAATTCTGATATTTCCGGAAAAAATTTTGAAAGTTCCGGAAAAATTCTGATATTTCCGGAAAAAATTCTGAAAGTTCCGATCAAATTCTGATGTTTCCGGAAAAAATTCTGATGTTTCCGGAAGAAATTCTGATATTTCCGGAAAAAATTCTGATATTTCCAGAAAGGATTCTGATATTTCCGGAAAAAATTCTGATATTTCCGGAAAAAATTCTAATATTTCCGGAAAGGATTCTGGTGTTTCCGGAAAGGATTCTGATGCTTCCGGAAGAAATTCTGGTGTTTCCAGAAAGGATTCTGATGTTTCCGGAAAAATTCTGGTGTTTCCGGAAAGGATTCTGAAAGTTCCGAAAAAAATTCTGATATTTTCGAAAGAAATTCTGATATTTCCGGAAAAGATTCTGATGTTTCCGGAAAAAATTTTGATGTTTCCGGAAAAAAATAAAATGTTGTTCCGGAAAATTAATTCTGAATTATGATAATTCCGGATAATAATAAAAGTTTTCCGGAAAATAATTCCGGAAAACACCTGATATTTTTGTTCCGGAATTAGTTTCCGGAAAAACTTTTAAAAAATTTCCGGAAAGTAAATATCAGGCTTAAGATCGCTAGAATAAAATTATGATACTTCCGGAAAAAAATATGATCTTGAATTCTGATGTTTCAGGATGACAATTCACCGGAAAAGAATTCCGGAAAAACACCTGATATTTATTTTCCGGAAAAACATCTTTAAAATTTCCGGAAAGTAAATATCAGGTTTCAGAACACGAGAAAATTATGATAGTTCCGGAAAAGAAATAAAATCAAGTTCGTTCCGGAAAACTAATTACAACTGTAACGGAAAACACATAAGAAATGAACATTTTCAGGAAAATAATAAATTCCGGAAAATAATCAGAATTAATTTTCCGGGACAAACTTTTATTATTTTCCGGAAAAAATCACATTTGATCTGAGTTCTGATATTTCCGGAAATTGATAGAAAACCAGTTACGGAAATTTAATTCTGATTTAAACCAAAATATATTTTCAGAGTTTCAAATAATCAAGTGTTTTCCGAAAAAGAAATAAAATACCAAGTCCATCCGGGAAACTAATTACAATTGTAACGGAAAACACAAAAGAAATGAACATTTTTCCGGAAAAGAAATAAAAATTCCGGAAAAAGTTTAATAAAAATATTAATTTACTCGATAAACACAAATTTCCGGAATTGCACCAGTTTCATTCATATAAACAATTCTGATAGTTTCAAATTGTTGTTGTGATTCTATGATGTTGTTAGAATTTGTGTTGGTTGTTGAAGGACGTAACTGTTCATAATTCACTTCAACTTCTATAATTCAAAAAGAAAAATTAGAAATTAAATTTAATTAAAAATTCGAAACCACTTTTATGGGGATGAAAAAATCGGACCTTATAATTAGAGGTATCTTACAATAAAGGGGGCTTTGTTACTATCAAACAACTCCCCAACAATTGAATTTCCGGAAAACATTATTAATTTTATAAACATTTATTAATTCCGGAAAAATTATAAAAACATTAAAATAATGTTTTCCGAAAAGATATTTAATGTTTTTACAATTCTGGAAATACAATACATGTTTTTACAATCCTTCCGGAATTAATAAATGTTTCTAAAAATAATAATGTTTTCCAGAAATTCTATTGTTGGGGAGACTTTCCGGAAAAACATTGTAAAAACATTAAAATAATAATGTTTCAGGAAAACGTGCAAATGTTTTTTTGTTTCTTAAACCGTGTAAAAACATTAAATAATAATTCCGGAAAACATATCATTCCTGGAAACACAAATTAATTTAAAAACATTTATTAATTCCGGAAAGATTATAAAAACATTGATACAAGTTCCGGAAAACATTTTTAAAATACTACAATGTTTTTAAAAATTAATTTTTTCCGGATTGTAATTTGTTTTTATTTAATGCATCAGAGAATTGTAATTTTTAAAAATATTTTTTACAATGTCCGGAAAACATTAAATTTTAAAATGTTTTTCCGGAATTTTATGGGCATTTAGTATTAAGTAAGAGATGAATAAAATTAAAAAAAATTAAAAAAAAAAGAATTATTCACCAGTAATTCTGTGTTTTATCAAATATTTTTCACAACGTTTAATTGCTTCCTCAATAGATCTAGGCCAATAATCTGTATTCCTTTTTCCAATTTCTGTATCATATTCCAATCGAATAAAGACATGATTGCAATCAAATGTACTTCTAGATTTATCAGCAGCACAAGAAACTCGAATTTCACCACAAGCACCATCCAAAAGTTCAAATATTTTGTTTTGTAAAAGTGTAGATTCGCTGTAAAATATTAAAAAGTAATTAATTTTTAAAATATTAGTTTTAAAAAATATTAGAGTTAAAACAATTAAAATTTCGGAAAAAACCGTTATTTTTACAATTTTCAGAAAACATTAAAACACGATCCGGAAAAATTTAAATTACAATTCTACAAATATAAATTCAGGAAAAGCATTTTCCGGAAAAAAAACATTTACAATTATTCTTTCCGGAAAACATTTATTAATTTCCGGAAAATATTAATCTTGTTCTAACCATTTTCAGGAAGAATATTTAAATATAAATTATAATCCGGAAAAAATCTTGAAAAACATTTACAATTATACTTTACGGAAAACATTGAAACACAATTTCCGGAAAAAACTTAAATTACAATTCTACAAATGTATTTAGAAAATTCCGGAAAAGTATTAATCATGTTCTAAACATTTTCCGGAAAACATAATACTAAAACAAAAATTATAATTCGGAAAAACACCCTCCAAAAACATTTACAATTATTCTTTCCGGAAAACATTTAACTTTAAAAAATAAAACACAATTTCCGGAAAGCATTATTGCTTTAAAAACATTTCCGAAAAACATTTAAGTATATCAAAACACCCTAAAAGTTCACCAAAAAAATCCAAACTACTTACTCAATTTGAGAAAACCGTTCATGAATAGTAGTAATAGAAGAAATGTTTTTAAGTGAACACCGAACAAATATTCTTGAAAGTCCATGATCATTAGTTCGAAATATTAAATATGGCGAGTCTGGATGTGTTAAATTTTCTGCTCCAAGAGGTAAACGGTAAAGTTCAAGTTTCTCTCTAGCAGAAAAATCGAGTGTTGTTGTGTAAAATGGTTGTTTTAATTTTGTGGATAACATTAAATCTATATATTTTGGTTTAACGTCAAAAAAATTTGACCTGAAAATTTGAAAAAAATATTAATGGAAATATATATTCTAATTTTAAGATTGAACTTGATTTTTTAAATTTAAAAAATTATTCCTAAACTATTGCATACGAGTGTTCATGCTGTGGAATAATTCATTGGATAGGAGATGGAATAGAACCATCATGGAATAAACCCTGACCGAAGCACAAACGACTGTGCCACCATGCAACCCGATGATTGGGTTTATGTATATTCTTTCTGAAAGTGCGGGCACACACAAACAATTTCCGGAAAATTAGATACTTGTTAGGTCTAAAAGAATCCGCCAGAAATATTTATTTTTAAAAATAAAAATTTCCGGAAAAAATTAATTTTAAACATTTTCCTGAAACCATCTATTATTAAAAACATTTAGACATTTCCGGAAAAACATTTAAAATTAAAAATTCTGGAAAACATTACTCCCAAACAATTTCCGGAAAGTAATAATATTTAAACACAAATTACAATCCGGAAAAATTACTATCAACAAATTTACAATTGTCTTTTCCGGAAAGCATTTAATTGTAAAACCATCTCCGGAAATATTAATAAATGTTTTTAGAATTTCCGGAAAAAAATTAATTTTCAAAAACATTTACAATTGGTTTTCCGGAAAACATTTATAAAAACATTTGTATTACAATTCCGGAAAAACATTATTATTTTTAAAAACATTTATTACAATTGTAAAAATGTAAATAAACTTTCCAAAAAAATTGTAAAAACATGTATTGTATTTCCGGAATTGTAAAAACATTAAATAACTTTCCGGAAAACATTGTAAAAACACTTAAAATAATGTTTCCGGAAAATATTATTATTTATAAAAACATTTGTTTTACAATTCCGGAAAAACATATTTACAATTTCCCTTAAACACATACATATTGTATTTATTTTCACTCACAAACAACAAGGAGAGAAAAAGTTTTAGGATTTTTTCCCAACAAAATTACTATTCAGAAATTTTTTTTTGATAATTCAAAACTTACCCAAGACTAGCAGTAAACCAATGTTTTAAATTTTTAGCACGTTCTTCACAACTTTCATTTTGTTTTTCATTATATTTTATAATAAAAAGAAAAGTATCCTCAACATTAATTTTTGCAGTAGAAACTTGCATATTGTCTAATGCGGTAAAATTTTCTTGGCAATTTTCGTCAAATGAATCAATGTTGTTGATAACCGTTATATAATAATTGAACGCTTTGTTATTTTGATTTTCAGCTTCTAAAAAAAGAATTTTATTAGAAAATTATTACAAAACATTTTTAAAAATTTACGAAAAACATAGACATTGTAAAAACATGTATTGTATTTCCGGAATTGTAAAAACATAAAATAACTTTTCGGAAAACATTGTAAAAATATTTAATAAAATAATGTTTTTCCGGAAATTGTGCAAATGTTTTTATATTTTCCGGAATTGTAAAAAACATTAAATTTTTATATTTTCCGGAAAACATTATTATTTTTGAAAACATTTATTACAACATCCGGAAGGATTGTAAAAATATAAATAAACTTTCCGGAAAGATTGTAAATACATGTATTGTATTTCCGGAATTGTAAAAAACATTTCATAACAATTCCGGAAAACATTATTATTTTTAAAAACATTTATTACAATTTCCGGAAAACTTTACTAAGAAACATCAGATTTTCCGGAAAACATTAATTTTACAATTTACGGGAAAATTGTAAAAACATTTGTTAGATATTCCGAAAAACCAGTCCTTTCAAACATTATCACTTTTTCCGGAAAACATTTGTACATTATCAAACATTATTACAATTTCCGGAAAACTTTATTAACCAAAAATAAAACAAATTTTCCGGAAAACATTAATTTTACAAATTGTAAAAACATTTATTAGTAATTAGAGAAAATATTTGTTTTTACGAACATTATCACATTTTCCGGAAAAACATTAATTTTACAAATTGTAAAAACTTGTTACTACAAATTCCGGAAAACATTTACACTTATAAACATTATTACAATTTCCGGAAACCCTACAAACTTACAAACCATACCTCTATTATTATTAATATTCGAACTTGTTTCTTCATTATTACTAGGAGTTTGTTGTTGTTGTAATCTACAATTAAAATATGGGGAAGACGAATTTAATTCAAATTTGAAAAACATCGCATCTTTATTTTTTGAATAGAAATAAACATTTTCTTCATTAATTAAAAATAATTTTGAGAAAAATAATTTTATTGCAAATTTAGAAATTTCTTCATTTGAATTAAAGAAAAATTCATGAAGTAAATTTAAATATTCTGCTTTATTATTTTCTTTAATAAATTGGCGTAAATATTTTTGTTGGTTTGTAGATTCTTCATTATTATTAAAATAAAGTGAAATAAATTCTGACATTTCATATTGTTTTGAATTAAATCGAATCTGAAAAAATAGGTATATAATTCAACCAAAAAAAACATTGTAAAAACATTTCATAACAATTACGGAAACAATATCATTTTTAAAAACATTTATTACAATTTCCGGAAGGATTGTATACTTTCCGGAAGGATAAATAGACTTTCCTGAAAAATTGTAAAAACATGTATTGTATTTCCGAAATTGTAAAAACATTAAATAACTTTCCGGAAAACATTATTATTTTTAAAAACATTTATTACAATTTTCGGAAGGATTGTAAAAACATGTATTTCCGGAATTCTAAAAACATTACAAACCTTCCGGAAAATATTATTATTTTTAAAAACATTTAGATTTTAAAAACATCCGGAGAAATTGTAAAAACATTTGTTGCATTTCAAAATTGTAAAAACATTAAATAACAATTCCGGAAAACATTGTAAAAACATTCCGGAAAACATATTATTATTAAAAACATTCAACAAAACATAGGAAAACATTTAATTTTACAATTCCCGGAAAACATTGTAAAAACATTTAACAAACTTTCCGGAAAAACATATTAGTCTAAAAACACATAACAACAATTCGAAGACATATACAGTTTCAGGAAAACACAACTTCCGGAAAAAAACAAACACAAAACACATTTTTAAAAACATTTTAAAAACAAACAAAACATTCAACAAAACATTCGACAAAACATTAGGAAAACATTTAATTTTACAAGTTCAGAAAAACATTGAAAAAACGTTTAAGTTTTCCGGAAAAACATAAACATTGTTCTAAAAACACAAAACAACAATTCGGAAAACAAAGTTCCCGGAAAACACAATTTTCAACAAACATTATTTAAACACAATTTAAAAACATAAAAACACCAAACATACATTTGAACACAAATTTGAATAAGAAAGTTGATGCATTTTGTTGAGTATTCTTCTAATATAAATAGCAATAGGTTCAATTTCTTGATTAAACATATTAGCTATTCGTTTTAAAGGCATTTGTAATTTAATAATTGATTGGTCATCCAGTCTTGACAATAATTCTTTTAAAAAAACATTTTTGTCCAAAACTTTTGTGTGTGAATAAACCATCCGAACAACTCTTAAAAAATAAAAAAAAATATTTTAGGGGAAACATTATTACAATTTGCTGAAAAATTAATATTTTTACAATCTCCGAGATCGAAAAATAATACTTCATTCATTACAATTCCGGAAAACCTTCTAAAAACTATACTAAACATTCTGGACACGATTATTACAACAATTTCCGGAATTGTAAAAAATGTAAACATTTATTACAATTTCCGTAAACGTTGTAAAAAAAATTTTTTTTTAATTTCCGGAAAAATTGTAAAAACTTTAAGCACAACTCGTCAATTTTTACCAACATTTATTAAAAATTCCGGAAAACATTTTTATTTTTAAAAACATTTCCAATTTCCGAGATGTTTTTAAAAAATGTTTTTTATGTTTTTGAAAATTTTTGTTTTCCGGAAAAAATGTTTTGACAATTATTTTTTTCAAAAATTACAACAAATCTTATAAAGATGTTTTCCGGAAAAACCCGTTTAACAATTGATGTTTTCCAGAATTACAGCAAATGACTATAAAAATGTTTTTCGGAAAAATACAATTGTAAATGTTTTTACAATTATCCTTTTTCGGGTTGTAATTTATGTTTTAAATATTATCCCTTTCCTGAAAATGTTTAGGATTAATATTTTCCGGAAATGCAGTTCATGTTTATAAATAAATCTCTTCCGGAAAAATACATTTGTAAATGTTTTTGACAATTAATATTTACAAAATTCTAATGTTTTCCGGAAAATACAAAACAATTCCGGAAAACCTTCTAAAAGCTTTTTAATATTATTCTTTTCCGGAAAGTGTTTAAATTTGATATTTTCCGGAAATTACAATTGTAAAAATGAATTTTTTCCGGATTGATTTTATATTTTTTTTTATTTTCCTGAAAACATAATTTATTGGATAGGGTCGTTTGGGCGCCCGCATCTTTGAGCGCGTGTTACCACAAAATATATTAAAAAACCCCACCTTGAAGGGTCAGAAATGATTGATTTAATTGAAGAAACACCTTTATCGTAAGAAACGTCTTGAAAGTGATGTTCAATATCGATAAAGTTTTCTAAAAATTCTGAGATTACAATTTGTAAATGTCCGAGAAGACCATCGCCAAATCTGTGTAGAAAAAAATTTTTTTTTATTTTTTATAAATTAATTTTTGGGGGATTATTAAATAGAGTTCAGTACCGAAACTGATACCAAAGCCGTAACTAAAGAATAGCGTGTGCACAAACATTTGGTGTTCCCAAAACGAGTGTGCGCAAATTTTTGCGTTCCTAATAAGGGTCTGCATCAAATCTTTAGCGTTCTGAATAATGGGTGTGCGCCAAACCCTTAGCGTTTCGAACGCAATTCTTTGCACGTATCAGCGATTTTTTAATCTAGGGTAGAACCCCGTCCCCCGACAAAATTTTTAGACAAAACCCCTGACCCAAATATCGAAGACTCTACCTCTACCTCGTCAAACCCCGATCACCGACGATCCCGCCTTCGAATGTTCGAGGTGCTACCCTATTTTAAACAACAACCAAAAAAACCCCCCTCTCACCTTTCACAAATTTTAATAAGAGATTCAAAATATTGTTTTTCAATTCCCAATTCAGTAGGATTTAGAGTACACAAATAAGATTCCATTTCTTCAGCCAATTCATTTGCTGGGAATGTTTGGTGGTTAACATTAGAAATTAATTTTTTAATTTTTGAGTATGAAGACATTCGACAAATTCGACTTTCGACAGCATACAAAAAAACTTTGAATAGAGCATATGGAAGTTGGGGGTTGTTTAAAACGTTGTAAAAATCGTCTACTAGACGAACAATTTTTTCGTGAAAGTAGGGTTCTGGCATACAATAACCAGACAAAATGTCTTTACATGTCTGTTAAATTGAATAAAAATTAGTGTGTAAATTTAAAATAAATTAATAAAAAAATTTTTTTTGTCCGCAAAAAAAATTTTTTTGTCCGCAAGTTTTTTGCGGATAGAATTTTATCCGCAAATTTATTTACAAATCTTTTGTCTGCAAAATTTATCCACAAAAACTTTTTGCCCGCAAAATTTTTTATCCGCAAATTTTGTCCGCCAAAAAAATTTTTGTCCGCAAATTATGCAAGAAGGTTCATCCGCAAAAATTTTACGGATGTAAAATTCTGTCCGCAAAATAATTCGGAAAAATTTTATCTGCAAATATTTATCCGCAGAAAAATTTTTATCCGCAAATTTTGTCCGCAAATTTTTGTCCGCAAGTTTTTTTGCGGACAAAATTTTGACCGCAAATTTAGTCTCTAATTTTTATCCTCACAAAATTTTTTTAAAAAATTAAAAAATTACCAAAATGAGATCCTCAAATCGAGTATCTAATCGGCTCTTTCCTCTGTCCAGCACATCTTTAGTTATAGCAGAATCCCATTCCTCCATTCTCCCAACAAAATTTTTAGGTTTTTGTGTTGAAACATCATCTTGGTCTTCAAGTCTAGCAATTAAAGTGCCTGGGAATAATACATGGCCGGGTTGGGCTACCTGGAAAATTGAAGTGAAAATAAATATGTTTACAAAAATTTTTTCCCCAGCCTGCAAAAAGAATGTTTTTTTGGCGTCCGCAAATTTTGTCCGCAAAAAAAATTTTTTGTCCGCAAAAAAATTTTTTGTCCGCAAAAAACTTTCCAACCCACCCTATCATCTCCGTTTCTTTTTTTAAATACGTGGTTAATGTGGAGCAGGCACCCATGAACCACGTGCCCAATGTACCTCCAAGGTATAACTTCGTTCAAAATTATCGAATCCGGGCCGCCTTGATATGTGGTTTGATGTGCCTCAACGAGCTGAAACTGCCTCTCGGATTCGATAAGTTTGAACGAAGTTATAGCTTGGCGGTTGACTCGCGGTAGGGGGTAAACCAAAAAAAAGTTTAAGAAAATCTCAAAAAAAATTTTTTCCAAAAAAAACATACCAGGGATCTAGCCGACCCGATTCCCAAAATCGGGAATTCCCGACGATTTTTGGGTCGCGAATCCCGATTCTCGAAAATCGGGAATTGAAAAAAATCGGGAATTGAGATCCCTGACACACACAAATACCTGTATAAGCCTTCCACCAGCTTTAGACACTTCCAAATTTATAACCATTTTCATTGATTCCATTTCTGCATAAACTTCCCCAACACAAACATAATCCCCCTCTCTTTTTAAATATTGCATAAAACGCCCAGCATTTTTTGAACGTAACATTGATGGATCATTTTCTTTTTCAAATATTGTTAAGGTTCTTCCAATAACGACTTTGAAACGTTCAGACTTGAAAAGAAAGGGGGAAAATTTAGAAAAATAAATTTTTTTGGTGTCCAAAACCCAGGGAGTCTTCAAAACGTCTCCTTGATTTTTTGTCTTCTCCCCACAATCGCTTGATATTTATAGCAACTAGAGATTTGAAATAGAGGATTTCGGGTATAAATTTCGGATACATCGCAGGTTCGGATACCAGATATACAAAGGTGAATCTGGGGTATGTCGAAATATATTCTAAAAAGCCAAGGACAAAAAAGAACATATACTAAGGTTGGCGGATACGGATCCGAAAAAGACCGGATATCCGAAGATTTACCAGGATTTGTCAACCTTAACCAATACCAGAGATTTCCCTCTTCTTCGGAACGAAAGATACATTGGTTTCGGATTTCGGGTCCGTTCCTGGGTCCTGGGTTTGATTTATTGACCTGGACTGGATCCTGGGCCTGTAGTCCAGGAAAAAACCCAGGCCCAGGAAAAACCCAGGAAGGTCAAAAAGTGCCTGGGCCTAGACTCTAGGACTTTGGTACGAGCTGGACCTGAACCCAGGCCTTGGTTCAGGTCTAGCTCGATCTCCACGCCCTACGTGACACCCTTGGTGTGTATTATATGGACAGTGTATTGTCACAGATCCCTTCCCCTTCCCTTTAAAAGCAACCAAAAATCAACAACAAAACAACCACACCCACCTCCTCCTCCAAATGGCAAGTATAAGCTTGATGTGAATAAATAATAATTAAAGTTCCATTCCCCAATTCTCTAACAATTGTAGTTACAACCGAATCATTTAGACGAACCAAATAATTTATTGGGCCAAATTTATTAACCATAACGCTATATTTTATGTTTGAATGAACTAATTCTAATTCCCATGTTTCTGTTAATCCAGATTTTGGTAAGATTTGTCCGCGTTCCAAAGCACTTTGAAATTTTGAAAATACTTCTGATATACGGGTATAACCAACTGGAGAAAGGAAAGAAAATAAGAAAAAATTAATTCTAACATTAAAATGGTTGGAATTAGAGAGCAGAATTTTGAAAAAAAACCGGAAACGGGAAAGTGTAGCAGAAGAAACCCGGTCGGAAACCGGCACCGGGAAAACAGGGATTTCCCGATCCTAATTTCATCCCGGCATCTTCAAAAAAACGGGACCGGGTCCCGTTTTCCCGTTCCGGTCTCTAGTTGCAACTAGGGATGACACGGGTTAGACGAAACCCCTGACATCCGGTTGCGAAATTTATGAACCCTCCAATCTCGCTTTTCTCAACCCGTGACATCCCTAGTTGAAAGTAGGATTATAAAACCCGAGACTAACCCATAACTTGGATCCCACCTTGGTTGAACGGAAGAAGGAAAGCTTTCGGACCCATTCCCAGACCTCTTGGACCTATAACAGATCCCTCTAATACATCCCCCTAACCACTCAGGTAGAGCTTACTGTAAGTTCTGGTTCCGGTCAAAAGTTCAGTTCCGATTAAATTTGCGGTTCCGATGAAGCACTACTCTCGGACCCATTTCCGATCCCTCTTTAAAAAATTAAAAAAAAAAAGAAAAAACCTAAAGTAGCCCCAATAGCAACAGTAACATGTACAGGCAATTCAGGTGCAGATTGTACCCTAGCAGCAATTCTAGCATCTAACCAACCCGTATGAAATTCATTATTTTCAAATTCTTTATCGTGTAATAATCCAACCAAATAATTTACTTGGGAAGTAAAAGTGGCCCGCAATTCTAATTCTTTTAAGGCACATAATAGAGCGGAAATGGCTTCGTATCTTTAACAAATTTTTGAAATTAAAAAAAAATTTTTTTTAAATTAGAAAATGGATGAGAGGGCACAAATTGCGGAACCGGCCGATATAAGGTTAAAAAACGGCAAAATGCTAAACCCCCTAAAAACGCCGAAATTTCAAACTGACAATGAGAAACCAGGGAAATTGGATTAAGGAAATTGCCTATGAAACTGCATTTGAATTCCAAAAAAAATTACAAAAAATTACTCTAGAAAATGCGTAGGATATTTAGAAACGTATGAGGGGCAAAAAAACACAATCCAAGCAAAATACCTGCCACCGGCCAGTTATTTTTTGCCCATAGCGTTTCGAACACCAAGACAAAAAGAACAACACTCTCCCCGATTTTCCCGGATTTCCTAGCATTCTAAAAAAACATCCATAAGCCTATCAGGAAACCAAAAAACGCGTCTGGTTAGTTTCCAAGGGGGTCGATTTCAGAGGGACAAATTGGGGCTAACCAAAATTTTGGCGTTTTGAGCCTAACTAGGGTAAGAAAACCAAAATATAGGGTCACGAACCTTCTAGGGCCTCTAGGTTCACCCATAAAATGATAAAGAAAAAACCTTGTAGTTCCTTTAGCAAATAAATGTCCAAATTGTGAATCAGCAAATTCGTGAACCTTTCCAGTACTTGAAAAAATTATTTAAAATTTCCAAAAAAAAATTTCAAAAAAAAAAACCTGGAAACAGAAAAATACCCCCAAACATTTTGATTAGATTGAAAATTTAAAACTTCAACAGATCCACTAGCTGGACGAAAACCTTCAGCTGGATCTTCACTTGTTATACGAGCAGCAATAACGTGAATATTTGTGTCTGTACGGCATTGGTTTTGAGGAAAAGGGGAATTTCTATAAAAATTTTAACACAAATTTAAAATTAAAAAAAAATTTTTCAAAACTTTTTGACCTAGAACTGGGGTTGTCGGATCCTTAAATACAGAACCGAAGAAAGTCTAGAAGAAAGTCTGGATATCCTTTTATTTTTAGCGCCGAAGCGCATCGAACCATACCAAGGCGTCCCGGATTCGACAATTCTGAACGAAGTTATAGCCTTGCGATACCTTGGCCTGCTCCCGCCACGGAGATAACTTTCGGAGAGACACCGCCACGGGAGAGGGACGGGGAATTTTCAAAGAATCTCTCAAATTCCCCGACATTTGGGGACGAGGAACAACCCTAGTCAACCCAAAAAAATCTCAAAAATGGGACACAAATGCAAAAAAAGTCGCTAAAAGTCCCAAAAAATATTTGCGGACAATTTTTTGCGGGCAAAACTTCTTTTAATTAAAAAATTTTCAAAATCCATACCCATATCTATCCATTCCATAAAAGAGACGAATTTCAGTTATTCTATGTAAAGGTATACCCATAGCAATTTGAAGTTGTATAGCTGGAATGTTTATATTTGCAACCATTTCAGTACATGGATGTTCTACTTGTAGACGTGGATTTAATTCCAAAAAATAATATTTTTGTTCTGATGGTAAATACATGTACTGGAAAAAAGTAGAAAATAATTAGGAATAGTTAGAAAAAAAATTTTGCGGACAAAAAAATTTTTTTGCGGACAATCCGCAAAAGTCCGCAAAAATTAAAAAAATCTTTTGCCGACTTTTTTTTCTAATAGAGCTGACTGACATTAATTTTTGAAAAGTTTATGAATAAGAATTGCAGATAATCCGCAAAAATTGTCCGCAAATTTTTTCAAGCTTTTTATTTGCGGACAATTTTTGCTGACAGAATTTTGTGAAAAATTATTTGCGGATTGTCTGCAAAAAATATTGTCCGCAAAAATCATCTGAATTTATCAAATAATTTTTTTGCGATTGTCCGCAGATCACCTAAGGACAATATCGATTGAAAAAAATTTCGAAAAATTTTGCGGATTTCTGCAAAAAAATTTTTAATAAAAATAAAAACCTCAACAGTCCCAGCACTAACATAACCAACTTTTTTAGCCAAATTGACCGCATCCATTTGCATTTGCCGTTGAATTTCTGGGGAGGCAATACCTGCTGGGGCTTCTTCTATTATTTTTTGACAACGCCTCTGTATTGAACAATCACGGGTAAATATTGGAATTACTTGGCCGTAATGGTCCCCAATTAATTGAACTTCTATATGTCTCGCATTGACCATACATCTTAAAGGGGGTAGAGAAAAAAAAATTAATTTTAATTTTAATGGGTAGGGGGTGAAGCAGTTCAACTAAGTCCCGACTCAACTAAGTCCCGAACCCTATAACTTAGCAAGGAATGGTCACTTTTTTATGTTCTTGGTATCATTGGATAGGGCATTAAATAGGCTACAATATACCAGAAAATCAAAATTCCTGACCAAATGGTAAAAAAGTTATGATCGATAAAGTGCCGAAAAATCAGATTTTTTTGAAAAAGTTAGTTTTTAGATCATAACTTTTTTACCAGTCGGTCAGGAATTTTGATTTTTTGGTATATTGTAGCCTATTTAATGCCCTATCCAATGGTACCAAAACATTAAAAATCATCAACCCGTACTTGAGTTATAGGGCCGGGACTCAGTTGAACTGCTCTGGGTAGGGGGGGACCATTGGGACGCGACTGGGCCATTAGGGCGCGAGCCTATAAAACAGTGAGTTACTTATCAAAAAAGATAAAATTTTGCAATAATAACTCTCGTACCTTTATCTACGTTCTCCAAAAATTTCAGAATTTTTGGACCAGAATTTCAGAAATTATGGCCAAAAATGTTTTAATTTTCCTCAAAATGATCAATTTTTCGAGGTCTATCGACTATAACTTTAGGAATATTTGATGAAAAATTCTGAAATTTATGGAGGAGGTAGTCAAGGATGTTAAAGAAATTTGAAAAAATTTTCATAAATTTAGGTTTCGCCTAAATGCCAATTTTGGTTCTCGCGCCAAAACTGCCCTGCGCCAAAACTACCCCAACCCGGGTCGGAACAGACAAAGGTGTCGGAAATCGGAAGAGCTGGAAATCGGAACTGGCTCAAAAGTCGGAACTCGGAAATTAAAATTTTTTTTTCGGAACTTGGAACTTGGAAATCAAAAAATTTTTTTCGGAACTTGGAACTCAAAAATTTTTTTCGGAAATTGGAAGGGAAAAAACCGTCGGAAACCGGAATTCCAACCCCCTCCTCCCTTATTCAGTTCAAAAAAAAAAATACTCACTTCATCAAGAAAATAGGACTTCCCGGCACTTCAGCCTGAACTCTTCTAAAATTTGTTCGAAATTCTTCATCACTAATACACTTTCTAATTCCTTTTCCACCACCTCCCTCAGATGCTTTTATCATTACTGGGTAACAAATATTTTTTTCTTTCATTGATGCCAAGCCTTCTTCAACTGTGGAGACACAAGCTTTTAAATACAATTCTTTGGAGATTTCTAATTCGCTTCCTCCCCCTCCTCCTTCTTTTCCGCTTTCTTCTTCTCCTGTTGATTCAACTACTAATCCACTTCCTGACCATTCTATTGTCGGGATTTTTACTGTCTAAATTTGAAGAAATATTTCTTTTTGAAGGTCTGAAATTATTTGCGGACAAATTTTTGCGGACAAAAAAAAAATTTGCGGACAAGTTTTGCGGATTAAAAATTATTTGCAGACATTTTCTAAAAGAGTTCACTGAAGCCTTCCTTCGCCTCAGATTTACTTCATCTATCCCCTCAGACTTACTTCATTTATCGTCTACTACCCCATAACTCACAAACATCTGAACGGACTCATAAACTTTTCAATGGACTCATAAAGCGCGATCGGACTCATAAACTGCAGTTTACTCGAAAAAATCCGCAAAAAAATTTTTTGTCCGCAAAATTTTTTTATCCGCAAAATATTTGCGGACAGTCCGCAAATTTTTTCCCCCAAAAAAATTTTAAAAAATCAACAAACCTGAGCTATAATCGTGCTAGCAATTTTATCTCCCAACGCAAACATTGCTTTACTTGGAGGGCCAATAAAAACAATATTTCTTTTGCTCAATTCTTCGGGTAAACGAGGATTTTCGCTAGCATGTCCCCAACCGGCCCAAACTGCGTCGACATTGTTTCGAGTTGCGTGTTCAACAATTTCATCAACATTTGCATAATTATTTGTATTTGCTCCGGCTGGGGAGAAAACGAGGTAATCGGCCATTTTTAGATATTCTGAAAAAAATAGAAAAATTGTGTCCGTAAAAAATTTTTTGCGGACAAATGCGGACTTTTTTGATATTTGAAAAAATACTTTTACTTAAACTAGAAATGAATTTGTTTTTCTACTCTGCAGCTTATACAACCAGAAGTTCTGGTCGGGGAAGCAAAGATAGGGCAAGATTGTTAAACAATTTGGCATTAAGACGCTATTTCCCCTAACTTGGTATTTCTGCGGTTTCTGGTATCTCGCTATCACCCCATGCGACTTAAACCGGTACTAATTTAGTTTCCCCCCCCCCCCCCAGCCAGTTTTTTCGAAAATTATGTAAAAATGGTCAGTCTGAACAACAATTGTAGAACCCATCGAGCTGTGTCGAATGACACCAAAATCAACACAATCGGACAAAGATTTGACAAAGTTACGACATTATTTAGATCTACCGGAGTCGACGACTTATGTCATAACTTTGTCAAATCAAGTCGAATCACGTCGATTTTGGTGTCATTCGACTCAGCTCGACGAGCTCTTTCGAATGAGCTATCATTTGTATAGATTTTCGTCTTTATGATTTTGTGCCCCTGTGGTTTAGGGGTCTGTATTTCGGTCAAATCAAGTCGGATTGTGTTGATTTTGGTGTCATTCGACACAGCTCGATGGGTTCTACAATTGTTGTTTAGACTGACCATTTTTACATAATTTTCGAAAAAACTGACTGGGGGGGGGGGGAAACTAAATAAGTACCCTTAAACCTATTAGAGATCGGTCTGGGTCTGGACCAAGGCCTGGGTTTTTCCTGTATCCACACTCCAGCCCCAGGCATTTTTTGAACTTCTTGGGTTTTTCCTGGACTAGGTTTTTACTGGAATGCCTAGGATCCTTGCATAGGTTAAGAAAATCAAACCCAGATTTATTCCAAAAAATTGCGGACAAAAGTTGCGGACAAACCTTATGGACTTTTTCCTGGGCCTCGGGTTTCTGCCTGGCATACTGGCCCAGGATCCGGCCCAAGTCAATAAATCAAGCCCCAAAACCCAGGAAAAGGCCCAGGCTTTTCAAAAATTTCCATCGCTAAAACCTATTAAAACCCTCCAAAATCCCCTCCACAAACCTGCTTTTGACTGAATTTCCTGTTCAGTAGTTAGACAAACAAATCTAATAATTCTGTCATTCCGGAAAAGTTGCATCAACAATTTTCTCATAGAAAGAATACATTTAACTGCAGCTATACCATTTGTTGCTACCAAAATCTAAAAATTAAAAAAAAATTTTTTTGTCCGCAAAAAAAGTCCGCAAGTTTTGTCCGCAAGTCGAAATTTTTAATTTTCTCAAAAAATATGGAGGATTATTTTCAATAACAAAATAAATAGGCTTACTTAACAAAAAGCGTGCCTATCACCCCACATAAATAATAATTCTTTGAAAAAATTTTAAAAAAATATAAAATTGCGGACAAAACTTGCGGACTTTAAGGAAAACAACGAGAAAGGAGTCTAAAATAGCCATATGAACAAAAAAATATTCAGAACAAATCAGAAAGCTATGTTTTCCCCAACAGATATTAAGAAGAGGAGTTTTGGGGAGAAAAAATTTGAAAAAATTTGCGGACAAAAATTTGCGGACAAAACTTGCGGACTTTAAGGAAAACAACGAGAAAGGAGTCTAAAATAGCCATATGAACAAAAAAATATTCAGAACAAATCAGAAAGCTATGTTTTCCCCAACAGATATTAAGAAGAGGAGTTTTGGGGAGAAAAAATTTGAAAAAATTTGCGGACAAAAATTTGCGGACAAAACTTGCGGACTTTAAGGAAAACAACGAGAAAGGAGTCTAAAATAGCCATATGAACAAAAAAATATTCAGAACAAATCAGAAAGCTATGTTTTCCCCAACAGATATTAAGAAGAGGAGTTTTGGGGAGAAAAAATTTGAAAAAATTTGCGGACAAAAATTTGCGGACAAAACTTGCGGACTTTTCGAAAACACTCAAAAAATCAAGGTAAATAACGACTATCAATTTTTCCCCTAATTAAATTTAAAAAAATAATTTAAAAAAAACCTTTCTAATGCTTCTAGCTTTTGTAGGGTCTTCACAAAAATGATTAACAAAATCGTCAATGTCATTGAAAACGAGATTTTTTTGATCAACCTTTTGAAAAAAAATTTTGAAAAAATTTTCGAAAATTTTCCTTACCAAATTGCTACTCAAAGTAGCCGAAGTCCCATCAAATTTGCTAACCCGAAAAGTTTGTATACTGGGTAAAGTCATTGGTCTAGGCATATGCTTTTTTTAAATTATTTTTAATTAAATGCCCTAAAAATGCCTGGAAATTAATAAATAAAATAACGGGACACGCCGGCGCAGGGTCATAACGGCGCAGAGCCACAACTTGCTGGAAAATTTCTGGACCTTATTAATTTTGATACCAATCTCTTTAGCTCGATGAGAGGAATCGTTTGATACCAAATTTGGTAAGATTCGTTAAACTTGAAGCAAGTTATGGCTTTGCGCCGTTATGGGCGCGCGCCTAATTGGACCCATAAGATACATTGTATGTAGTATATTTGAGTCTTTCCGGAAAACATGTGTTTTCTAAAAACACACTGAAAACACATTGAAAATAATTATGAAAATAATTGTTCCGGAAAAACATTCAATAATCAATTTCATTTTTCCGGAAAACAAGCTCTGAAATTTAAAAAAATCCGGAAAACATGCTGGAATTATAAATAATTTTCCGGAAAAACACATAATAATAAAGTTTTACGGAAAAACACATAAAATAACTATAAAGTTTCCGGAAAATACATTTTATATTTAAATCAGAAACATTTTCCGGAAAACATGCTGGAAATAATTCTGAAAAAAACATTCCGGAAAAACTCGTTAATTTTAACGTTTCCGGAAAACAAGTTTTAGAAACATGAAAACATAGAAAATAAATGTTTCCGGAAAAACATCGTACACTTAATTTTTAAATATTTTCCGGAAAACATGCTGGAAATAATTCTGAAAAAACATTCCGGAAAAACACTCGTACGTTTCAGGAAAACATTGTTTTAGAAAATAAAAAAACATAAAAAATAACTGTTTCCGGAAAAACATTGTAAACACGCGGGAACATTATAGAACTAAAATTCTAATTAGCTTTCCGGAAAACAAGTTTTAGAAATAGAAATTCTGCCTATTTTTAAACTATTTTTGACATTGAAAATTAAAGAAAAAATAACACAATTAAAATATCAAAAATTAAAAATAAATTAAAATTAAAAAAGAAAAATTTTGGTGGAACGTTTTATATAATTTATATAAATCAGCCCATTATAGAGAGAGGGAATGTGGAGTGCTTCCTTCTAATAATCAGCCAAAAAATCGTGTTATCAAAAAATTATTTATGAGTTTGAAATTTTAGTGGGAGATACACTCTGTAACAAAATGATAGGACCCCCTAATTTTTTATCAATAACTTACCAAATATTCGATGGATTTGTTTCAAATTTTGGTCGAATATAGGTAAGGATATTATGTATCAAGAATAAAAAGAAAAAGTTAAAAGCAATTTTTAAAAAAATTTTATGATAATAAATTTGATTTTGGAGTGTAACAAAATGATAGGACCCCTTGTATTTTCGACCTTAGGAATGGTCCGAAAAATCTACAAAAATCCCTGTAAACATATCTATTGATATCTATAGTAAATACAAAAGAAACAAAGTTCCAATATAATTCCTTCATTGAGATCTGAAAACCCGAAAATCAACGGAAAACCGTGGGTAGACGTCTTTAAAAAATATTTTCGACCCCTTACAGACAAAATAAAAATTTCATTTTAGGCTTATTTGAAAGCCCTTGAAATTTCCTACAAGATAGCTTTTATCTCATAACCCAGAAAAAATTCTTTTTTGAAAAACAATGAGATTAGTTTATAAGTCACATTTTCATCACTTTTTGGGGGGCTTTTGTGTGATTTTTATGACCTGAAAGTTTATCGCATTGTGTCTTAAAGGTAAATTTTTTTCAAAAAATAAAATTGATGCTATCTTGTAGCAAATTTCAAGAGCTTTCAAATAAGTCTAAAATAAAATTTTTATTTTATCTGTAAGGGGTCGAAAATATTTTTTAATTACGTCTACCCCCGGTTTTCTGCTGATTTTCGGGTTACCACATCTCGATGATGGGAGTACATCAGAACTGTTTCTTTTGTATTTTCTATAGATATCGATAGATATGTTTGCTGGAATTTTTGTGGATTTTTCGGACCACCCCTAAGGTCGAAAATACAAAGGGTCCTATCATTTTGTTACACTCCAAAATCAAATTTATTATCATAAAATTTTTTTAAAAATTGCTTTTAACTTTTTCTTTTTATTCTTGATACATAATATCCTTACCTATATTCGACCAAAATTTGAAACAAATCCATCGAATATTTGGTAAGTTATTGATAAAAAACTAGGGGTCCTATCATTTTGTTACAGAGTGTACTTTTGTCTTTTGACCTTTTTATTTTTTTCCTCTTTATTTTTTTCTGTTGTTTTCGAATTTTAGAGTATGGTAGGATTGAAGGAAATGTTTTCCGGAAAACATTTAAATATTAATTCTTTCCGGAAAATGTTTTCAGGAAATTTTAATATTTTTCCGGAAAATGAAAAATAATTACTTTCCGGAAAGGTTTCCGGAAAATATTCTCATATTAATTCTAGAATGTTTTCCGGAAAATGTTTCCGGAAATTTTTAATATTAATTTCGAAAGGTTTCTCCGGAAACAATAAAAATATAATTACTTTCCGGAAATTGTTTTCAGGAAAATCGTAATATTAAAATGTTTTTCCGGAAAGCTTTTTAATAATTAAGTAAGGTTTTCCGGAAAACATATATATATATAATAGTATTCCGGAAGCAAAAAATATAATATTTTCCGAAAACTTTCCTGAAAACATTTTAATATTAATTCTGAAAAGTTTTCCGGAAAACATTATATAATTGTCTTCCGGAAGCAAATATAATATTTTCCGGAAGCAAAATATAATTATTTTCCGGAAACCGTTTTCCGGAAAATATTCTAATAGTAATTCTGAAAGGTTTTCCAGAAACATTCAGCTGCTTGCGATTTCCGGAATAGGTTCCCTTAAAATTCCGGAACGAAATCTCTCGTTCTCTAACACACCCTCCTCTCTATAACGCACATATCTTTCCGGTTATTGACAAAAAGAGAATTAATAGAATGAAAAAATAAAAATAAAAGAATGTTGTGGGGGAAAATAAAGAGAAAAAAGAGATATTTATCTACACAGTTAAAACAAAATGATTCACTTTGACTTTAATTAACAACGTTTTTTGCTCTACTATTTATTTGTTACTTTTTTAAATTTTTTAAAGTTGAGATTTTTTAATTTGAGAAAATAAGTTGTTCGCTAGCGTTATTTGCGGACTTTTATTTTCTATACAAACATTGTGGTGTGAAACTAGAGGGAAATAAGACTAGGCAAGAAGGCGAGGGGATTCTCAATAGGCTTCTGTTTTGTCCGCAAATGTCGGGTGTTCGCAAATGTCGGGCGTTCGCAAATGTCGCTTGCCTTCTAGTAAACGCTGCTTTGTTCTGTTTTGTTCGCAATTGTCGGATGTTCGCAAATGTCGCAGCGTTTTTTTCAATTTTGTTGCTAGCTTCTATTAAACGATAACCCTCTGAACATTTTTCATTCTGGCATTTTGTTTAGCCCCAATGTCCTATTTCCAAGTACAATGGGCTTCGGGATTGTCCGCAAATGTCCGTCGCCCGCAAATGTCCTTTGTTCGCAAATGTCGGGTGTCCGCAAATGACGGTTGTTCGCAATTGTCGCGACGTTTTTTCAATTCTCTTCCTCTGAACATTTTTTATTCTGGTGTTTTGTCTTTATCTTAATTTCTTTCTAAATAAATCCTTATACTTATTGCGACGACACTTGCGGACCGACATTTGCGGACATCTACTAAGCTTCCTGTCTTATAGATTTTGTAAAGTCTCGTTAGGTGAGTAACACTATCAATATTTTACTATATGCTTAGCTTACGATGCTGTACTATACCCACTGTCATTTAGTTCCAATTTCAATAGGCTTCGGTTTTGTCCGCAGGGTACAGCCCAAGTAGGCGCGCGGCCAAGTAGATGCAAAGCCATAACTTGCTTCAAGATTTCCGAATCCTACCAAATTTAGTATTAAACGATTCCTCTTAACGAGCTAAAGAGATTGGTACCAAAGTTGATAAGGAACAGAAATTTTCAAGGTAGTTATGGCTTTGCGCCTACATGGCCGTGCGCCTACTTGGGCGTGCCCTATTTTTGCTTCTATTTTTCTCGGTTTTTTATCAGTATTTTTCTCCCTACAAAAATACCAAATTACTATAAAAATTACATGTATTTTCTATTTAAATCAGAAGCAAAAAAATTAATTTCAATCATTTCACTTAATCGATTTAATTCAATTAAAAGAATATTTTCACGTCTGGGAATGGATAACAATAAAAATGATAATATTAAAAACAATTCTACTACTCCTCCAAAATTCACTGTTGGATATTTATTTGCTAATCCAGACACTGCTATTGCTTCTATTAAAGTAGGGAAAAATAAAAAAATTTTTTAATTGACTGTTTGACTGAAGGCGTCCTTTCCCCTTATAAACGCACCGCTTCAGTCTCTAGGCCATATTTTGGGCCATAACTTTTTTGATCCTTGACCGATTTAAATGATTTGTATACCAATCGAAAGCTCTAAATGTGGGGATTATTTTATCTGACATGATTGAGTTGATCAGTTCATTCTGTAAAAAGTTACATTTGGGTAAGTGCGCGCAATCGTGATTTTTGATCGTTATTCAGCTATAACTTTAGGTAGGATGATTTGATCAAATATATCCTGTTAGCTAAAATGTTCCTCAAAACAAGAGCTTTCGATTGGTATAATAATTATTTAAATCGGTTAAGAATCAAAAGAGTTATGGGCAAATAACTACTAGCAAAAATAACCATTGCGCGCACTTACCCAAATGTAACTTTTAGTAGGGTGGTCTGATCGAATCAGTCCTGCAAGATAAAATAATCTACACATTCAGAGCTTTCGATTGATATAAAACTTATCTAGATCGGTTAAGAATCAGAAAAGTTATGGCCAAATAACGAGCAGAAATCACGATTGCGCGCACTTACCCAAATGTAACTTTTGGTAGGATGATCAGATCAACTCAATCCTTTTGGCTAAAATAATCTACACATCCAGAGCTTTCGATTGATATAAAAATTATCTAAATCGGTTAAGAATCAAAAAAGTTATGGATAGAAACATAGCTTCGGACAGCCCTCCCCCACAGCGCCATCCCCCCAGCGCCTAGTCAAATTTCAAAGAGACGGCTAATTAAAAAAAATTTTTTTTCTAGTCAATGGACTTTGGAAAAGAATTTGGAACAAATCCAAAATTAATTTTCCAACCTTCTTCAACCTTTATCAACAATATAGAAAAACAAAAAGTATGGGAGGAACAAATTAATGAAAATTTATTGCCTATAGAAATAAGAAGGCAAAGTGAAGGAATACCCAAAAATTGTTTTTGCGGCTTTGATATAATCAAATTTTATAAGAAAATTGAAACTAAAGTTTTTGGACAATTTATTGTTTTTGTGCCTGTTTGTACATCGACTATGAATATTGCTGATAGGTAAAAACACAGAAAAAATACAGAAAAAATACAAAAACTTTCTGAATGGTCGGTGAATTGTCTGGATGAATTCCGTATTGTCAGTGAATTGTCTGGACGGTGAATTGTCTGGATGAAACCCGTATTGTCAGTGAATTGTCTGGACGGTGAATTGTCTGGATGAATTCCGTATTGTCGTTGAATTGTCTGGACGGTGAATTGTCTGGATGAATTCCGTATTGTCGGTGAATTGTCTGGTCGGTGAATTGTCTGGATGAATTCCGTATTGTCGGTGAAAAAAACACGAAAAACACAGAAAAACACAAAAAACACAAAAATACAAAAACACAAAAACACGAAAAATACAAAAAAATACAAAAATATTAAAAATAATTCTGATTTCGTATTTTTCAGTTTTTCGAAAGCCTTCCCAACAGTCAATGGTTTTGTAGTGATTACTGGTTGTCAAACAGCTGGAAGAGATAATTATTTTTATTTGTTTAAAAATATTTTTATTAATTTTTAAGGCGTTCCGGTAATGAATGGGTGAGCCCACTCGGTGAGTTTTCTTTAAAATTTGGTCGATGGGCAAAACACCGTCCGACAAGATACCGTCCAGACATTAAAGTGTTGCCTGAGTCATGTCTGGACGGTGAATTGTCTGGATGAATTCTGAATTGTCGGTGAATTGTCTGGGTGAATTCTGAATTGTCGGTGAATTGTCTGGGTGAATTCTGAATTGTCGGTGAATTGTCTGGGTGAATTCTGAATTGTCGGTGAATTGTCTGGGTGAATTCTGAATTGTCGGTGAATTGTCTGGGTGAATTCTGAATTGTCGGTGAATTGGCCGGGTGAATTCTGAATTGTCGGTGAATTGTCTCGAAGAATTCTGAATTGTCAGTGAATTGTCTGGATGAATTCCGAAATGTCAGTGAATTGTCTGGACGGTTAATTGTCTGGACGGTGAATTGTCTAGAAGAATTCAGAATCGTCGGTGAATTGTCTGGACGGTGTTTAATCTGGCGGTGTATTGTCCTAACACTATAATTTTTAGGAGCAGCCTTGTTTACAATTAATTTAATTGTTCCGTTTGACTCTAACGTTAGCAAATCTCTTGTGCTTATCCAACATTTGACGGCAGTTTCTATTTGTAAAGCAATTACAGAATTTATACCGGTCAGTTTGTATTTTTACAAAATACAAGTTTAAATATCTTTAAGGATTTTCCTATCAGAATTAAATGGCCAAACGATCTTTATTATAAACGCGAATTTAAATTGGGCGGAATATTAGTTTCAAGTTCGCAATCAGACAGTGGATATAATTGTTCGATTGGTTGGTTAATAAGTTTACAAACTTTATTTTTGTTAAAACAAGTTTATTAAGTTGGGAAAAATAAAACACATAATAAGTTTACAAACTTGAAATACAAAATAAGATTGAGTAAAATAAACTTGAAACACACAAACTTGAAAAATACAAATAAAACACATACTAAATTTAAAACTTGAAGCAACTTGTTTTAACAAAAATAAACTTGAAAAATACAAACTTGAATAAAACACATTTAAGTTTTAAAATACAATTTGTAAACTTTAAACTTGAAAAACAAAATACAAAACTTACAAACTTAACAAAAAAACAAACTTTTAAAACAACATGTTTTAAATAAACTTGAAAATAAAAAAACACATAATAAGTTTATAAACTTGAATTACAAAATGAACTAGTTTTATTAAGCTTAAACTTGAGGAAAAATAAACTTGAATAAAATTACAAAATTGTAAATTATAAACTTAAAATAAATTTAAAGGTGTTGGTTTAAACATAGCAAATTCAAAGCCAACAATTTGTATTAATGATTTAATTTGTAAAGAAATGGGGAAACTTGAAACAGAAGATGTTATTGCAAAAATATTGAATAAATTTGAAAGTAAGGAATAAAATTATAAAGTCTGACCTTAGAATAAATTCACCCTTGGGGTTGGAAAAATCTTATCATAAACTGAGGTGTTCTTAAGTTGTAGGTATTGTTTAGAGAATACTTCCAACTAGCGACCAATTAAATTTATACCTACAAGGGTATTCGAGTTGTGCCTACTATTAGAGGGGTTTTGCTTTGGAGGGGGTTTTACTACTGGGGGTTTGCTTTTTTATAATGGGAGAGGGGTTTCAATTTGGAGGTATTGCCTTTTCTAAACACTGCGGTGACCAGCTAAATTAATAAGTGTATCTTAAATAGATGACCAATTAAATTTATAAGGGTATTCGAGTTGTATCTACTATTGGTAGGAGGGTTGCTTTAAAGGAAGGGGGTCAATTTGGAGGTATTGCCTAGTCTACACGGTGCATTGACCAGTTAAATTAGAAAGGTATCTTAGATAGAAGGATCTAATATTGGGTGTATTTTATAAAGAGGTCAAACCGTAATTAATAAAATTTTCCAAACTTAAGCTCAACTCGAATTACTCAAATCAAAAGGCTTTGCTAGTTTAGTACGCGATTATGAGAAATTTTGGTTACATACAAACGAACAAGTTTCAATTAGCTTGGCTTCTGGAATTCAAGAAAAGGTTACAATAAAAGGGCTAGATGAAAATGGTTATTTGTTGGTACTTAAAGAGTCGGGAGAATATGAAAGTGTAATGGATAATGGTAGGGGAAAAACTTTAATTTTATTTTTATTCTTAAGTTCTTAAGTTTGTTAAGTTTATGCTTAAGTTTGTTAGTATACTTAATTATTCAAGTTTATTTTTATATTTCAAGTTTTTAAGTTTGCTTAAGTTTTTAATTTTAAGAAATCGTTAAGTTTTTAAGTTCAAGTTTATAATTGTAATCTTAAGTCTCAAGTTTAGTTTCAAGTTTTAATTTAGGCTCATTTTTTGTAAAACTTTTCTAAGTTTGTAAGTTTATTTCCGTATTTTAAGTTTAGGTTAAGTTTGCAAACTTGTATTTTCTTTTCAATTTTCAAGTTGTTTTACAATTGTAGTCTTAAATCTTAAGTTTATTTTCAAGTTTTAATTTAATCAAGTTTATTTTTACTAAAACTTGTTTTAAGTTTATTTCCGCATTTCAAGTTTAAGTTAAGTTTGCAAACTTAACTATTTTATTTAAATTTTCAGGTTTTACAATTATAGTCTTAAAACTTAAGTTTATTTCCAAGTTTATTTTTTTCTAAAACTAGTTGATTTTTTATTTTTAAGTTTGCAAGTTTATTTTTATATTTTCTTTTAAATTTTTAAGTTTTAAGTTTACAATTATAATTTTCAATTTTAAGTTTATTTATAAATTTCTTAAGTCTTTAAAACTTATCTTAAATACTCATTAATATTTAAGGAAATCGTTTTGACCTCCTTCAAGGACTTATCTTCCAGAGAAGGAACTAAATTGAGAGCTTGATTATTTAATTGTTATTTTTTGTTAAGATTTTATTTTAAAAATATTTTTGTCGCAATATTTTAAATTATATATTTTGCATAATTTTATTTTGAAAAATAAATTTAAATTGAAAAGGTGAGGTAAAAACAGAAAAATACATTAAAGTTCAATAGGACCTAATTAAAGGATACGCCTTCTTAAGCTTGAAAACTTTGTCAATTATTACGAGATATGCCCAACCAATTTTAAAAAATGCCTCTTAGATTGAGGTTTTCAATAATGATGCCTCTCTTAATAATGATCCCCCTCTTATTTATTTTAGGAAAGGGTCAGGATTTCGGGTATCGAATTTCGAGTAATTCTATCCTTCTCTGCTAGTAGATACACCTGAATTTAAGAGGCATTAGGTTGAAAACCTGCCCCGAAACCCAATTCGATTTTTTTCTTTCTAAACTCGACATATCTCTGGTATCTTGTATTTGGTTTATTTTAGATATATTGAGGTCTGAGAATTTAACAAAAATAAAAATTAAAATTTTCAAAAATAAAATAAATTCAAGTAAAATCGTTTCATAAAAATATTAGTTACTAAGTAAAATTCAGTCACAAAACAACATGTAAATAAATGCCTTAAAAACGTGCAAAACACCCTCGAACCTATCGTTATATAGATTTAACTGATAAAATAATAAGGAAATATATACTAGGCATGGCGTGGTTTCCAAAAAATAATTGATGCGGAAAATCGCCGACATTGAGAAGGGTAGAAAAAGGGAAAAAATAAAAATTGGAGAATATAATTTAAAAAATCCTTTATTTAAAAGTATAGGAAACTGGAAATGGTTGGCCTATCTAATTTTTGGGAGGTTAAAGTGTTTTGGATTAAAAGTAATTCAAGTTTGTGATCTTACTTTTTGCGTATAATATTCTCATATTTTATCTAGTACACCTCAACTGAATCACGGTCCAGTTCCGGCCCTATAACTCAAGAAAATACTGATAGTTTTTAACAAATTTGGTACCATGAATAGAGAATTAAATTCTCTACAAAATAATTCTCTACAAAATACCAAAAAATCAAAATTTTCGACTGATTGATAAAAAAGTTGTGGACGATAAAGTTTACCTATAATATGCTTATATTTTTATTTAGTCGTCGAAAGATATTAATTTTTATAACTTATTTTAATATTTCAAGAATTGTAATTTCGCAAACTTAAGTTTAATGTATTTCCAAGTTTATTACTAAAATTAAGTTTAAAAATACAAGTTTTTACAAATGTATTAAAAATAAACTTGATTAACTTAAGTTTGCGATTTTTATTTTCAAGTTTATTTTACTACATAATTATAAAAACCTATTTTCAAGTTTGTTGTTTTGTAAACAAAATTTTATTATATTTCAAGTTTATTTTTCAATCTAATCTTTAAAAGGAACAAATAAAAAATAAATAAATATATTTTCAAGTTGATTTAAGTTTTTTAAATATCACAATTTACTCTTCATTTTTCGACGAGTAGCGATCATTATTTTTTGAAGTTTTTGAAGTAAAGTCAACTTTCCTTTGATTTTAAGTCGACCAGTCAGGAAAGCCTTAAAATACATATTTTAAAATGAAAAAATGTAATTTTAAAAATTGTATTTTAAAAATTGTAAGGAAGAGAAAGACTAGGCGGGGGTTTAAGATCTAACAGGAGGCCGTAGGCCTGCCGGGGATTAAACTTTTACATCGCTCTTACCAAATTCAATTTAAAAAACTACAATTACAATTTATTTTTCAATTTCAAATTGTCTACTTTATCTTTATTTTCAAGTTTAATTTATTTTTGTATTTTAATTTAGTTTCAAGTTTGTAAGTATAGTATAAGCATTTTACTTCTAATTTTCAACTTGTTTTTGTAAATAGTTATCTAGTTTTGTGATCTCAAGTTTACAATATTTCCAAGTTTATTTTTAATTTTTAAAATATAAAAAATAATTTTTTTATTTATGTAAGCTTATATCTATCACACTTCTAAAATATATATTTCTTCTAAAAAATTCAAAAATATTTTCGCGTCTTCTCTTCCATACGCCTAGTCTTCTTTTCATTCTCCTCCAAACAAAGTTTTAAATCCAAGCAGGCGCCCTAGCATTTCCACAAGTGTTTCTGTTTTGTCTTTTTCTTCGGTCTCAACCTTTACGTGCACAATTTTTGAATAAATTACAAATAAATTTACAAACTTGAGTTAATTAAACTTTACGAGCTAAATTAGCTTATAAATTTACAATTGTTTTATTTTCAAGTTTATTTTTATAAACTTTTTTTTTCAAGTTTGTATGTTTTTTTATATTTCAAGTTTATTTTTCTATTATAAGTTCGAACTTAAGTTTATTATTTTTCTTATTTTCAAGTTTATTTTTTATTTAAGTTCAGACTTAAAATTTTTTTCAAGTTTGCAGACTTAACTTATTGAAGCTAAGTTTATTATTTTCAAGTTTATTCTTAAACGCTTAAGTTAAGTTTTTTAATTCAAGTTCGTGCTTAAAAACTTGAATTCTAGTTACTTCTAATTTTCAACTTTTTAAGTTTATAAACGTTTCTAAGTTTTTAATTGTAATCTTAAAGTTCAAGTTTTATTTCCAAGTTTATTTTTATTAAAACTTTTTTCAAGTTTGCAAGTTTATTTTTATTTTTTTTATTATTTTTCAAGTTTATTTTTATTTAAGTTCAAACTTAACTTATAGATAATAAGTTTATTATCTTAAGTTTACTCTTAAACGTTTAAGTTTTTTAAATTCAAGTTCGAACTAAAAAAAACTTGATTTAAGTTCTAACTTAACTTAAGCACTCCTTTAATTTAATTCTCCCACCTTTGTACCATCCAAATCCCCATTAACTAGCCTAACAAAGTCTTCATCCGCAATAGAAACAGTCACCTTAGTAGGCTTCTTATCTTGTTTTTGAGCTTGTTTTTGATCTCCACTAGGCTCTCCTTGATAAACCTTTCCCTTTCCGTCTCCAGTTAATTCGATAGCTAAAATTATGATTTTAGAAAAGATTTTTTAAAAATTAATTTACTATATTTTGTAACAGATTTGCTTCCATCCTCTCCCTCACTGCTAATTTCGTATAAAATCAAAGCATTGCCCAGAGGTTTGAGTGACTCGTTTGTCTCCGCTAACTCCTTCCCCATTACATCAAAAATTGCTTTTGATTTTAGGGGTGGACTTAACTTTGTGTTAATCTTGGAAGGTTCCTCACTCAAATTTTGAATAACTGAAACTTCGTTCAATTCAATGCATCCATTGGAAATGGCAACTTTTCCTGTTTCTTTAATCTTAAAAATTGGGAAATTAATAGAGCATTTTTATTTTTTGAGTACTTAAGTTTATTTTTATTTTCAAGTTTATTAAACCTTCAAGTTTAACAAGTTTAGTTTAACAAGTTTAGTCTGTGAATTTAAGTTTATAATCTTAAGTTAATATTTGTATTTTCCAAGTTTTTAAGCTTAACAAGTTTATTTTTTATTATTTTCAAGTTTTTAAGTTTACAAGTTTATATTCAAGTTTATTTTCAAGTTTATTAAATTAATTGTATTTTGCATTCTAAACTTGAAAAGTTTATTTAATGTTTTTAAGTTTACAAGTTTATTTTCAAGTTTATTTTTTATGTGTTTTTAAGATTGTGAATTCAAGTTTATTATTAAAGTTGTTATTTGTATTTTTTGTATTTTCAAACTTAACAAGTTTAATTAATTTCTTAAAGCATTTTTATTTTTGAGTACTTAAGTTTATTTTTTTCCAGGTTTATTAAACTATATTTGTATTTTCTACGTTTTCAAGCTTAACAAGTTTATTTTTAATCTTAAGTTTGTGAATTCAAGTTTTAAGTTTATTATTTGTATTTGCTACATTCTCAACAAGTTTATTTATTTTTAAGTCTGTGAATTTAAGTTTATTACTTAAGTTTATATTCGTATTTGTTTGTGTTTTCTAGCTAGACAAAATTATTTAATACTTTTAAGATTGCGAATTATATTCAAGTTTATTTTCTTAAGTCGATATTTGTGTTTTCAAATGGGTACCCATGTTTTTTCAAGTTTATTCATTTTTAAGTTCGCAAATTATTTTTATTCGATTTAGCGTTGTAAAATTACAAAACACGCATTTTCAAGTTCATATTAATTTTGTTCTCATCGTTTTTCGGGCCCCTTACAATTTTACAAATTTCTACCTTTGCAGTAAACAAAATTTGTTTTTGGTTCTGCCACATTTCCACAACCAAAGTCTGTCCAGGAATTACAGGGGAAGAAAAACGACTTCGAACTGAACGCAAATTCTTGGCTTGTTTATCGCCATAAACACGCAAAACAAGGCGAGTAGCAAAACCGAGAGAACAAAGCCCGTGAAGTATCGGGGTAGAAAAACCAGCCATTTGGGCAAAGTCTGGGTCGATATGTAAAGGATTTAGATCACCAGAGCCGATACGGTAAAGGGCTGCCTGAAGAATGTTAAAATTAAATTAGAAAAAGCCTTAAAATTATAACCTGATCAGGATTTATTCGATCTTCTAAAATTGTATCTGGTGGTCTTTCTGGAAATGGAGGCGATTTACGTTCATAAGGCGATGTGCGGTTGCCCTTTTATTAGAATAGTATTTTTTAAGTTTTATTAAATTAGGTAATTTATTTTTAAGTTTATTTTTATATTTTTAAGTACTTGAAGTTTAAATAAACTTGAATTATAAATAATTTTAATAAATAACTTTAAGTTTACAAATCAAGTTTAAACTTGAAAAAAATAAACTTGATTTATATAATTAAAGTTTATTATTATATAATTATCAAGTTTACAATTCAAGTTATAAAATACAGAATTTATAAACTTAAGTTTACAACTCAGGTTTATTTTTTGTAATTAAAGTTTATTTAACAAATAAAGTTTAATCTTACAAAATAAAGTTTATAAGCTTAATTTTGTAAAACCAAGTTTATAAACTTAAGTTTACAACACCAACTAGGTATTTTTTATCTTAAGTTTAAACTTATTTGTAGACTTGAAGTTTATTGCATTACATTTTAAGTTTGGCAAGTTTATTTTTATACTCTTAAGTTTGTAAAATATTTAATTAATTTTCAAAAAAGAAAATACAAAATAAATACCCCGAAACCACCCGCTCCAGATAGGAAAATACCAAATTCTTGGACTGCCAATTTCTCATTAGTTTGACAATCATAAGTTGTAACTGGAAAATTTTTGTAAATTTAAGTTTGTAAATCAAGTTAATTTATTTATTTCAAGTTTCTAAGTTTTCAATGTATTTTTAAGTTTATAATGTTAATATTTGTATTTCTTTGTATTTTCAAACTTGATAAGTTTATTTTTGTATTTCAAGTTTGTGAATAATGTATTTTTTGTATTTTAAAGTTTATTTTAATTTTTTAAGTTTGTAAATTATTTCAAGTTTATTTTTCCATTTTTAAGTCTGCAAAGCATTTCCAAGTTTATTTATTTAATTGTATTTTATTTTGTATTTTCAAAACTTGACAAGTTTATTTTTGTATTTCAAGTTTGTAAATAATGTATTTTCAAGTTTATTTATATTTTTGTATTTTATTCTTAATAAGTTAATTTTTATTATTTTTAAGCTTATAACTATTTTCAAGTGTATTTTTATATTTTTCAAGTTCGTAATTAATTTAAACTTTATTTATTTTTTATATTTCTCTTGTATTTTCAAGTTTGTGAATTTACCTTCTTTAATAATCAAAGCAGCCTTTCCTTTATCCAAAATATCCAGAACCCTAGTTTCCGTTCTTAATTTGCCCCCATCTGCAGGAATTGGATTAAACAGCTCAATATAATGTTCTCCATGAAGAAGACGGCTAAAATCCAAATTAGCCCCAGGCCAGTCACTTGCATTACTAGTTTGAGCTAAAAAGCCGGGGACTACCACAAATGTAGGGAAGACTTGAAATTCTGGATGGCCTTCATAAATGAAGTGTAATTCTTCTTTTGTGGTTGCACCAACTAGGAAATTAAATAAACAAGTGTTTATTAAAATTCAAAAAAATTGTAAACTCACTTCCTAAAGCATAAACAATAGCATCTTCTGATTTGTAATTAAAAAGAGATGGCTCAGGAATAAATTGTTTAGCGGTTTCGGGATCCATTTATTGCTTTAAGCGGTCTAAGTTTAATTAATTGATTGATATGATACAGTGTTAATAAACTTAAAGTTTACAAATATAGATTAAACTTGAATTACAAAGATTAATCTTAAAAATAAAAGTTTAAATTTTAATTATAAAAATAAACTTTAATTGCAAACTTGAATTTTTTAATTAATTAAACTTAGTCTAAAAATCAAGTTTAAACTTGAATTATAAAAATAAACTTGAATTGTAAACTTGATAATCTCACGAAATAAAACTTAATTTTACAAATCAAGTTTATTTTTATAATTAAAGTTTAAACTTGATTTTTAAAGTTTATTTTTGCATTTCAAGTTTGAACTTGTAAAGTTTATTTTTATTTTAAATTTTTCAACTTTAACTTAATAAAGTTTACTTATTAAAATTATTTATAATTCAAGTTTGTAATTCAAGTTTATTTAAAAATGCAGCAAACAATAAGGCTTTTGTAAACTTAATTTTATAATTTTATTTTAGAAAGTTTTACAAAATCAAGTTTATTTATTAAATTCAAGTTTTTTGAAATAATTTGTATTTTCATAAGGAACAAAATTATTTGACCTTGCAAAACAACGAATGATTTTTTCCTTATCGCTGCTTTTATTTTTCTGCTATTTATATTTTCTCTAAATATAATATTGATTTGTAATAATTTTTAAATGGTCTCATTATGAAGGAAAATTGCTAAAATTTAATTAAAAAATATAAAATTCATTTTTACAAACTTAGCTTATAAAATTAAGTTTAAACCAGAGATGTTTCGAAATTTCGATTTTCGTTTTTCGATTTTCGAGGTTTTTTTCCTTTCGATTTTCGATTTCCGAATTTTTGAAAAAATTTAAATTTTTGGCGCCAAAAAGGAGGAATTCTGACTTATAGGCCCGGTACACCTCAATTGAGTCCGCACGATTGAGTCCTCACGATTGAGTCCGCACGATTGAGTCCCCACGATTGAGTCCCGGCACAATTGAGTCCCTACGATTGAGTCCGCACGATTGAGTCCCCGTTGTATATACCTCAATTGAGTCCCCGTGGATTTGATTTAAAAATTTTTTAAAAAATTCCAAATCCCCCATGCGTGATTATTTCAAAAATGTTGCGGGATATTTTGTAAAATCCCACAATTAAAAATTTTATCAAAATTATCAAAAATCTTTATTCAATCTAATAAACAATAATCACTAATTCTAAAACAAAATTCTCAAATAAATAAAAATTCAAGGATCCATATTATAGTTATGAGAAACACCTCTTAAAAAATCAATAATTGGGTGAATAGGATAAGCAACTGGAAATTGATAATTGTGATCAAAATTTGGATTTGCGGCCTGATACGTTTGGACCAACGCATGAATTCTTCTATCGGCATCACGATACTTTCTTCGTTTAGGTGGAGGTTCCATTCCCTGTTGACACATGGCATAATCTGCGTCAATCAACTTCTGTTCTTTTCGTAATGTATCGATGAATCTCCATATATTTGGATGCGAACAACTGAATGCCCGTTGGAGTTTTTTATGTGCAGCTTCTGTAAAATAAATAAACATTTTTTTGTAAAATAAGTAAACCTTAACCTGCGTAATTATTAGTTCTATCCCCCATTTCAAGTACCCTTCTATGCACGCTCCAGATTGCTGGATCAAACCTCGGTTGGTTTCGCATACCATCCATACGCAAACGGCCAGTATAATTTGTAATAAACCTGAACGTTAAATAAAAATTAAAATACATGACAAACCAGTCAAGAACAGGTTGTAATTCAAGTGGGAGATAGGTCTCTAAAGCAATGATTGCCAAAGATATATCACAGATAGGCAAGAAAGCTATTGAAGTAATTAATTTGGCATCAGCGGCAAACAAAGGATCATTTTTATAACGCTGAAAAATAGGAGTACAAATGAAAATGGGAATAAAAAACAACCTGCATTAAATTAGCATCGCAAATTGCTTTTTTAAGATTCCTAACCAGGTGGAACAGACAACCGGCCAGGTCTGAACGA